AACCTACCAAGCTGTTCAGCAACCGCTCTCTCAATCACCTTACCCAGGAATGGAAGATTCGAAACCGGGCGGTAATTGGATAGATCTAAGGGATCTAATGATGTTTTCTTTAAGAGCGGGCGCACCACTGCCTCCTTCAATTCCCCTGGAAATATCCCGGTGCCAAGGGACAAATTGATGATATCCCCCAGGGGCCCGCACCTCGTCTGGACACGCTCTAATCAGCCAAGACGGGCACGGGTCAAGAGGACAGGTGGTGGGCTTTCCAGCTCGGAGGAGTCTGTCCACATCGGCTGGGGATATCCGATCAAAGTGGTCCAATACTGGACCCGAGGACAGTCGAGGGGCCTCCAGTTCCTTTACTGTATCCAAATTGGCAGGGAGGTCATGGCGGAGCAACAGGACCTTCTCCGCAAAAAAAGCTCGCAAATGCCTCACAGCTGTGTGTCAGATTGTTATTTAAATTTGGCTGTCCTTCAAGGGACGTTAAAGACCTAATTATACTAAATAATTGCGCCGGGCGAGAGCTAGCGGATGCAATGGAGGCCGAGAAGTAAGACTCTTAGCGGCCTTCACCGCCATCTCATAGGTTTTCATAAAAACCCTATAAGATGTTCTTGAGGCTCCGTCACGGGCACCCCGCCATACTCGCTCTAGCCGTCTGAGGTCCCGCTTCATTTTCCGAAGCTCCTCGGTAAACCAGGGAGCCCGGTTTCTGCGGAGTCGCAGAGGGCGCTTAGGTGCGATCTCATCTATGGCTGCCAGGAGCTGGGTATTCCAGCCCTCAACAAGCTCAGTCAATGAGTCGCCAGGGGAAGCAAGGTCCCGCAAGGCTTGACGGAATCTATCAGGGTCCATCAGCCTCTGCGGGCGAGCCCAAATCGGCTCGCCACCTAAGCAGGGTGGGGGTGGAAAGTCAATCCTGGCTTTCAGAGCGTAGTGATCAGACCATGGCACCTTAATTGAAGGAGACATGATCACATCTATACCTACGCCAAAGATCAAATCCAGCGTGTGGCCTGCTTGATGTGTGGGGCCTGAAACAAACTGGGAGAGCCCTAGTGTTGCCATGGAAGACACCAGGTCCAGAGCCTGTGAGGAGGGAGTGGCATCAGCATGGATGTTGAAGTCCCCCAATACCAATAGGTTAGGGAACTCCAAGGCCCAGCCGGCCACCGCCTCCAGCAGGCCTGACAGGGTGGCTGCTGGTGCGCTAGGTGGCCAGTACACCAGCCAGACAGCCAAGCTCACCTCAGAGCCCCACACTAGGCCAACACATTCAATGCCAGGGATCAATGGCGATGGTAGAGCCCTGAAAGGACAATCTTCCCGGATTAATAATGCCACCCCTCCCCCCCGGCCCACAGTCCGTGACTGGTGGAGGACGGAGAAACCCGGGGGCGCCATGTCCGACTCTTCGTGACCCCATGAACCAGAGCCTGTTAGAACAATCCATTTTTAAAAGCTTAGTTTGAAGTTTCATTGATGCAGATATCCCTTTAATCTCACAATTGATTGCCTCATTCAGTAATAGTACTTGTCAAATTGCTGCATATATTTATTAACACAAAGCTCTAAAGACACCCCGTTCCTTCTGGTAAAACACTCAGAACAGCTTCCATGGTACAGGATTAATCTGTTAGCAATTACACTTACAGGGATCATTGTGTAATGTGCCATGGGGATTTGGTTTTGCTCCACTTAAAAAGCGTGACTTCCCCGCCACTGTGAAAAATACAAGCACAATAAATTATATTAAAACCAGAAATGTGTTGCGACAATGAGGACGGTATCAGGAGGTAGAGGAAACGAAGGACTCTCTCCTGGCATTTCCAGAATGTTTCTTAATTATCAAGGCTGTAAAGCATAAAGCATTTGTAAAGTTGCAAACCTATGCATAATTTCCTAGGAATAAATGACAGCATCTTAATGTGACTTAACACTGAGTTGATATGTTTAGGATTCTGGGGAACGACTATGAACTGCTTGTGAGAAACATTTATCTGCCTAGTGCTTTTGATCTGAGGTTCTGTCTTTTGATGTGTATGTTTCTACTTGCTTGTCTTTGGAAAAAATGGATAAATTCTGTATATAGGAGGCTTGTGCATTATTGAGTTTATTCCACAGAACCTTTGAGAACCAACTGTTACATGGTGTCAGAAGTTGGTGTGGATTTATTTTCTTTTTTTTTTTCAAAGTTGAGAGTTTGTTGGTGCATTTTTGCACACACGCATTAGCTTCAGCGTATGCAGCCTCTTGCCTGCACTAGTTTTACAAGGCAAATTGGCTGAACTGGATGGGAGCAAGCTTTTCAACTATACAGTGGTACCTCGGGTTACATACGCTTCAGGTTACAGACTCTGCTAACCCAGAAATAGTGCTTCAGGTTAAGAACTTTGCTTCAGGATGAGAACAGAAATCGTGCTCCAGTGGCACGGTGGCAGCAGGAGGCCCCATTAGCTAAAGTGGTGCTTCAGGTTAAGAACGGACCTCCGGAACAAATTAAGTACTTAACCCGAGGTACCACAGTATTTGACTGCAGCTGGAGTTGATAATGTCAGTAGTCCTTGAACAATTTAGTGGATTTTAAAATATTTATTTATTTATAAGTTGCAGGGGGTGGACCAGATGACCCTTGGGGTACCTTCCAAATCTACAATTCTATGATTTATACCCCACTTTCTCCCTGACAGGAACTCAAGGCAGCCACAGAGCCTAGGGCTTGCTGATCAAAAGGTCGGCAGTTCGAATCCCCGCAACGGGGTGAGTTCCCGTTGCTCGGTCCCTGCTCCTGCCAACCTAGCAGTTCGAAAGCATGTCAAAGCGCAAGTAGATAAATAGGTACCGCTCTGGCAGGAAGGGAAACGGCGTTTCCGTGCGCTGCTCTGGTTCGTCAGAAGCAGCTTAGTCATGCTGGCCACATGACCCGGAAGCTGTACGCCAGCTCCCTCGGCCAGTAAAGTGAGATGAGCGCCACAACCCCAGAGTCATCCGCAACTGGACTTAGCGGTCAGGGGTCCCTTTACCTTTACCTTACTGTATATATACATTAAAAAATCTATTAAAACCATACAAATAATTACAGTTAAAACAGCACGACACAGCCCTTTCATTAAAAGCAATTAGTTATTCAAATAAGGTGGAATAAGGTGGTGGAATAAGCAGGAGGACTACAAGGAAGGAGCTAATCAAACTTCTCTGGGAGCATGTTCCAAAGTCTGGGAGCAGCCACCAAGAAGGCCCTCTCCCTTGTTCCCACCAAGTATGCCTATGAGGGTGGCATGACCGAGAGAAGGGCCTTCCCCTAAGTTTCAAAACCCAGGCAGGTTCATATGAGGGAATATGGTCTTTCTTGTAAGAATGTGGTGCTTTAAATATATTCCTTTTTGAATCATTCAGAGATTCATGGAGGTGCCATTGAACAGTTTGTTACTGAACTCAAATTTAATCTGGTAAACTGTGAATTTGGTCCTACAATTCATGACAGTGTGAGGAAAAAAATCCCATTCAGCTCAGTGAGGCCTACTTCTGAGTAGACATACTCAGACTGCACCATAAGCTACACATTGTATATATTAGTGGGTGTCCTCAGTGTTATTCTACGACTACATAGTTCTTTGGATTAAGAGCATTTACTTCACTGGGAAGCCTTTGGGAATGTCTCCTTTAGTTGCATATATTTTCCATTTCATGTCATCCACAGAATTTGCATTGATGACTGCATGAGAAAAAGCATGGGTAATTTAGATTCAGGTGCTCCTTTTCCAGTAAATTTAACCTATCTGATAAAATACCTACCCATCTGTGCACTGATAGGATTCCTTCCAAACAGCTATTGGAAAGTTATATTGGTGCTTGCTTTGACTAATGAAACGTATAGCATATATATAATTTGTGTTGAGAACCATTGGGCTGAGAACACTGTAGAGTTTCTGTAAAACACACAAAGCCAAGAAAATGATGGGGGATATAGTTCCATCTTATTAGGTATGGCTATCCTCAGCCATTCTAATTATAGCTAAACCTTGCTGCCATCTTGCGTCTGAAATCTGCAATTTATTTTTCTTATTAAAAACAGAAAACCCAATATCCTAGGGGCTTTCTGCCACATAAGGTACTTATTAGCTTTGTGAGGTAAACATACCTGAAACAATGAGAGGGCTTCCCAGCACTGAGGCAACAAGATATGATGCAGCTGTGAGAGGAGGAAAAAGAAAGCAACTACAGTAATGCAGTAGTTAGAGCAAAGATGGGGAACCTGGCAGTCTTTGCTTCCTAGTTTTGAAGTAGTGTGTGTATGTGAACTTGCACAGCGGTGGTGTTTGGGGGGGAAATCAAAATGAAACAAAGCTTGTGGTACATATAGTGGTAAATTCTCACCTAAAGGACTAGCCACTACTGCAAATGCAAGTATAATAAAGCTCAACTCCATTGGGCAAAGCATCACTGTCCAAAAGCAAAGAAAATGTTGCTGGGGGGGAGGGAGCGCTTTGGGTGATTCTGCGGGAAAGATCTTGTCTATAGATGCGTTAATATTAATTTGTACTTAATGCATTATAACAGATGGTATCTTTGCACTTGCAAACACCCAGTTTCAACCCAACCATCATCATCATCGTCATCATCATCATCATCATCATCATTAATATTATTATCCTGCCTTTTTCCCTGACGGGACCCAAGGTAGCTTACAGATAAAAACAAGAACCGCTAAAAACATAGGAAAAACCCATCCATTAAAACACAAGCAAATATTAACAGAAATAAAACTATATACATATATGAAATCCGCCTTAAAGGCATATCAATGATTACAGTCAATTGTACAGTAGCGCCCTCCTGCGAATTCCCATCCCACGTATAAGACAGCAATTAATTATTATTATTACAGTATTTAAATTGCCATGCACACACTGAGGGTTCCCGCCCCCGCTCCATCCCGAGATGCAGCGATTGGCTGCAGAAAGGAGGCTAAGGAGTTTCCATTGGTCGGAACGCACGTGCCGGGGAAGGTGGGCGCAAACAAATACGGAGAAGAGCTGGAGCTCGCGCTGGCCGGTGACTCGGATCTTGGCCGGTTTGCGCCGCGCGGGGCAACGCGAGGCGCAGAAGGAAGGAGGGAGGGAAAGAGAGCGGAGAAGATGGCGGCGGCGGCGTCCTTCCCAGGCGCTTCCGCCAAGAGGCGAGGCAGGTTCCAGCAGAAAAGCCCTTTCGAGGGCTGCCGCGGAGCCCCGTCGCGGCGGGTGTTGAGAGACGCCGGCTCAGGTGGAGTGTGCGAACAAGACGCTCCTTCGGAGGAGGAGGAGAGGGTTTTGCAAGGGGCAACGGGTTAGAGAACTGGGGGTTGCAAAAAACACACACAGCACCCCGCTTAATTCGGGGCAGGTAGCTTGCTTGCTCCCGAGTAGGCGAGGCTGCGGCTCGGGACCCCGCGCAGCCGGATCCTGCACCCTCGCAAACGGGACCTGTTGAGTTCGGGAAGGTTTGCGGTGGCGTTTTGTTGCTTGGTTCGAGCAAGCACGAAACTACGGTCCGTTTCCTCCCTGGAGAGTCACTGCACAAAACCCCCCTTTGGGCTGGGATGCCCCGTCTTACCTCCGCAGTAGCGTTTGGCTGGGAAACAGTCTCATTTCACGCCTCCTCCCGTTTCCCTGGAAGAAAAGCAGGCCATCTGGGTCCTCTTTTTTTCCCCCGACACGCGACGGGCATGTTCAGACGAGGAGCGAGAGGCCGCCGTCGGAAGCGCCGGGGTTGCGCCGCCTCAGTCGGCCGCCATCTTTCCAGCGGCGGGACCCGACTTTTTATTTATGAAGTTCTTTAGGTGCCTTGACGCAAATGTAAAAACATATATTACCTCGAAGCTCTGCTTGGTCGCCGCTGCCCCTTCGTTTGTGATGGAGCAGGATTTGTGTAGGGATCGAAACAATGAAAAAAGACTAATCTATAGTCGGAAAGTTAGTTTATTCTGTTAGGTTAGGCCCTCATCGCCCACAGTTGCTTTAGGTTTGGTTCCCAGCGCAGCGATTCTTAAAATACAGAAAACTCGCAGGCTGTTAAATTAGTGTGGGGTTGGGGTTTTTTTGGAGTCGGGGTGTTTCTTATCAATTGTTTTCAGGGCCATCTGTAATTAATGCTAGGCGTTCCTTTAGACTTCTGAAAAACCTTACCTACAATGGAAGTTGGCCCTGACTTTTAATTTATAAGCATATGGCATATTATTTTCTGCCTTCCAAACCGTATCCTATGCATTTTTACTCACAAGAAAGTCTTGTGTTTTCAGTGGGATGCTCATGTAAGTAGCACAGGATTGCAGCTTTTGACTTAGGTAGAATGCAAACCCAGATGATTTATGTGAGGGAGAAGTCAACCAAAGGCAAAACCTGTAATTTCTTACTCAACAATGCTTCCAGGTTGCTCTTGTTTTTGGGGGGGACCGGGGGGGGGGGAGTCAGTGCCGGATTTATGTATAAGCTAAACAAGCTATAGCTTTGGGCCCCCAAAAAATTTAAAGGGAAAAAAGCTGGATGTACATTTCCAAAATATAAGATAAAGACAAATAAAATAAAACCTACATACAGCAACAGTGTTTTGTGTTGTGTAGGCTCCTATGATGTAAGTAATGGACCCCGCCCGCTAGCCTGCTTCCTAAAATATCACTGGTTTGCTCATTTATATATAGGGTGCCTACATTCTGCATGGACTGGTTGCATGGCAACATGTGCAAATGGCTTTAGATACCTATTAGGTTCATAAATTACCATATAGCATATATTCAATGCAAAAAACAGCAACAATTTGTTGTTGACAAAGGACAGCTGGACATATAAAGGGCCCCATTACCTCCAGTAGCTTAGGGCCTTATCAAACCTAAATCTGGCCCAAGTGGGGTATTTGGGCAAAATTCAGGCTGTGCAGTTAGTTGATTGGCAGTTCTTTCACAACAAACCTACTTCCCCAAGAGAGAAAACTTGTTGCAGTAAGGAACTTGATGAGAAAATGCACTGGAAAGTGGGAAAACCCTTAAAACAAATCTTGTGTGACTGCTCATTGAGTCTCCAAAATCATCTAATCTACCTGTGAACAGATAAGGTAGGATGAATGCTCAATAAGTACATTTTCTGGAAGTGCCGTAACTATTCTGCCTCCCCCAATTCCTCCCTCCATCTTGACCAGCCAAAGACCTGCTTTGGAATCATGGAAATCGCTGTTTTCAAACTTCTGTGCTTGTTGTGTTACTCTAATGTGTGTTAATTTGTTTTAAATAACAAGAGCATTCATATGCTAACTTGTTTTTGCGTCTCTTTATTTTCTTCCTTTTAGACTTGCAGATTCAGAATTCCAACAGGGCTGGTGCATATGATAGCTATACTTCACAAGTAATTGATTTGCTTTCTTTGGGGATATATGGGATCAGGGCAGACTTAAGACTTTCAAATTTCGGCAGTGCCCTGTGCAAGGCTAAAATTTGGCACCCCACCTCTTGCCTTCCATTCTGCTCAACTCACTATGTCATAGTTGTGACGCCTGCACTGCCCCCTAGGTTGCACTGCCCTAAATCTGCCTCTGGTGGGATACTAACAAAATTAAACCTGCAGCCAAATATTTTGTGGGAGAATAGCTTAAGAGTACACTGGTAGGACATTGTCAGTTCTCATATTGTCTCTACTGTCTCCTTTCATGTTCTATCGCTGACCTGAAACAGAAATAAAAATATAAGGAGCAATCAAAGAAAGATTGGATCCAATAGTGTTGAGTACTGTATTGGAAATTCTTAACTATGAACTTTTCCATTCCTTTCTTGTAGGTGACCTTAGATTTTGAACAAAAAGTCCGTCTTAGGAGTCTGCAAAAATATAAAAGGTAAATCTGAGGGTGTTTTGATGACTGGAAGCGAAGGGGGAGTTGGCATGTGGGGCTGAAACATATTTAGACTTTAATAATAGCTTTTTTAGTAAACATTTTTTTATTTCATCATTTGGCTCTTAAAATGCTCTTGTTTACAAGGAAATCCGTTAAGATTTTGTTCAATTGGTGAAATATTTAATATTCAGTGCTGCTGGGTTCTGTGTGCCGAAGAAACTAAGAAAATGACATTTTAGGCTGCTGCAACTTATTTATTCTGCCAGAGTTTTTTCTTGACTGCCTGTAAAAGTCCAATCAACCCATTTTACCTTTTTGGGCTTTAATCAGGATTGTAGTTGTATGTTCTGTCTCTAAAAATGTGAGGGTAAATAGCTTGGTCTTGTTTAAAAAGAAAAAAGTTTGAGGTGACAATAAAAGGTTATTATTTTACAAAATTTATTTACTTCATTGCAGCAAAACTCCTAAGTTTACAAGAAACCTTAAAATTATAAGAAAAGTTTAAAACAATTAAAAACATTTATAGATTATTAAAATTAGCAACAAAAAAGAATATTTCAGAAGAGCATGTGTCCTCCCCCCAATAAGATTTTATTAAAGCTTTTTCATGATACAGTAAGATAAAATAAACCAGTCTAATTATAAACAAAAAGAGAAAAGAAAATACAGTGTCCTCAAAGGTAGCTCTTAACCCTTGTCTCACACAGAAAGTAGTGAACCTGCCCACCTCTCACCTGGGAGCTTTCCTTTTTTCCTCCAGTCTCTCCCTCTGGGAGGTCTTCCCTTCCCTTCCCTCCCCTTCCCTTCCCTGACTCTCACTCAGAGTCCATCCATCCACCCACCACCCTCATGTTTGTGTAATCCTTGGACCAATAATGGCCCAGAGCAGAGGACACGAAAGAGAAGAAAAAAGGAGCGGAAAGAAAAAAAGGACCATTATAAATTACAGTGGTACCTCGGGTTACATACGCTTCAGGTTACAGACTCCGCTAACCCAGAAATAGTACCTCAGGTTAAGAACTTTGCTTCAGGGATGAGAACAGAAATCTCGCGGCGGCACAGCAGCAGCGGCGGGAGGCCCCATTAGCTAAAGTGGTCTTCAGGTTAAGAACAGTTTCAGGTTAAGAACAGACCTCCAGAATGAATTAAGTACTTAACCAGAGGTACCACTGTATAACAGTCTTAGAAATGATTAAGGGAGACTTTTGCAGATCCAGTGCCCATCAGGGCTCTTACAAGGCTTTTGGGCAAGATGCTGATTCCTCTTCTTAAAAGTCACTTAACCCCATCAGGGTTCTCAGGAGCTGACAGCTTCCTGTTCTCTTGATGCAAAAAACGGCTTTTTCAGAGCACCAGAGGTTAATCCCCTGTAAACACTTTTTTCCAGACTGAATTCAATAGCCAAGATTTATGTTTGGCTATCATCAATTGCCACATAATTTGTCTGTCGGCAACGTGCTTCCACTGTGTTCCTCCCCTGGAAGTCGGAAGAGCATGTGTTATTGAAGGTATTATTTTTGTTAAGTAATATAACAATTTGATTTTTAGGTTTAATACTCAAAGCATCAATCAGCCGATTAACTCTGCTGACTGGACTCCAGCTCACTATCTAAGATCAGAACCATCTATTGCAGATATGGTATGTAAACGATCTTACTCGGTTTTGTGTCTGCTTAGTAAAGTGTGAGTTCAACTATTTAATTTCAAATTAAGTGTAACTAAATTGGACTAGTGACAATGACATTTTGTGAGTTGAAGAAATATTTGCTAAACTGTGTTGTTGGACTGCTGGTAAAAAGCACAGCAACAAAATGGTGCCTTTTTTTGGAAATCACTGGGGGATAGAGAATTAAGAGACCGGATAGTGATATTTTTCTCCATCAGTTTTGGTCATTTAATGTTCGCCACTACTGGTGACACCTGCAAGAATGTATTTTGCAGTGTGACAGCCTTCTCTGATTCTTGCCCCCCCCCCCCAGATGTGTTGTAGCATTTGTAGAAAACATTGCATTGTCTTTTTTAGCCATTTACATAAGTGGAGAACAATGATTATTCAAACTCATTGTACTCCATAATGTGTTCTGGGTTAAAATGTGTCACCTTGAGAAGATTTCTCATTCTCCTGAGAATAAAACACCTACATTCAATATTTATATTACTGTCACTAGATTTGGGGCAGCTCAGTGTCCTGTTTTAACTTGTTGTTTGGTAATTGTCGGTTGGTTGTAGTGAACTGAGATGTCAGCTCCCAACAGTGGAGAAGAGAGCAGAACCTTCAAAGAATTAAATGGCTAAAGGAGCAAAATACTCCTGAACAAAAGATGCCAAGACTATGAAACAGCCGCCTTAGATGAGAGAGTTTCATATGTCTGGATTTTTTGAAAGAAGTGATTAACAACTCTGCATTCATGAATGAAAAAACAATTGTGTGGAAAGCTTACAGGGTGTTAGGTTGTGTTTTTTTTTAAAGAAGAATGAAATATGAACTGTTAAAGAAATAACCTTGTAGTGACTATACCACATTATTCAATGATTATCTAGCCTGAGGGAATGGATTCTTGATTTCTTCTCTTTTGAGATACCCCGGTTTTATTTTTAAAAACCCTGTCTGCTACTTGTTGAAAACAACATACACATGCATTTTTTTTAAAAAAAAGATAATAATCAAAATTAATTGAATTACAATGCTAAGATGGCCTTTGTTTAAAGCAGCTCTCTGCTAATTTTATTGTTACCCTTTTATTTTCCCCAGAATAGCAAAATTCTACAAGAGATAGAGAAAGCTTTGGAAGTAGCTAAAAACAATCTTGGGTGGTTAAAGAGTGCGGAGGAGGTAGGCCAAAAGAATTCTGTGTCTTGGTTTGAAGTATTTCAGATTTTAGTTTATACTGATGTCTGTTCCAAGAAATTCTTTCTCTAACAATACTTCAGCAAGGTGCTATAAAATTTAATGTCAGCTCAGCTCCAGGTGTCCTTGGAGGATACCAGTTATTTTAGATCTTCACTCTGGCTTCTTTCTGGTTTTGAAACAGAACTTCATTGGTTGCCCTGAACCCTCCAGAGATCTTCGGATTATTACTAAAAATGCTTCGAAATGAGCAATGAGAATGGGTCCCTGTGGCTCTCCTGGACTTTTCACTGGCTTTTGATCCCATCCATCATAGCATCCTCCTGGATCTCCTAGCTGGGAGGGGAGGCATTGTACTGCATTTGGTCCTGGTCCTTTTTGAAGTGTAGCTCTCAGAAGGTGGTGTTTGGAGCTTGCAGTGGCAAGCCTAAGGTATCTGTATGAAACCACTGCAGAGGTCATCCAGAAATCTGGAATGCGATGTCAACAGTATGCTGATGATAGTTCTATGTCTCCTCTATCATTGGGAGCCTGGGAAAATTCTGGGACAGCATTTGCGATTGACTATATGAGGTTGAATAAAATTGAACCTTAGTGCAGACAGGCTGGAAGTACTGTTGAGAATTAGTCTGAAGCAGGATAGAGATACAGCATATATTGGAACAGAGTTGCATATACCCATAGGAGACTGTATTGTAGTCTTGGGCTTCAGGCTGCATCTTGATGTTCAGGTAGAGACTGTTGTCAAGAGTGTATTTTACCATTTTAGACTGGCTTAGCAGCTTTGTGTTTTCCTAGAGAAGACTGCAGCCACAATAATTTATACCCTAACATCCACATTAGTTCTAAATCACAATTATGTATTAATATTTTCTGCCTGCTCTTTACCATAAGGTTCCAGGGCTAGCTACAACAATATAGTATACATATATAGTATACAATTATTAATGCAAATAAAATGGTTGCAATCAGTACAGTACAGATTCAGGAAAAGAGATTGGGCCCCGCAATATAAACACCTTAATTGTCAAATGCCAGGGGGAGGTGGGCCTTCAGTATAGCTATGCAACAAAGATGTCTGATGCACCTCTGTGGGGTGGAAGTTTCCCAGTTTATGGGTTGCCATAGATAAAGGGCCCTCATTTCCTGCACTCCTGTGGGTGGTGGAACTAACTACCTAGAGAGTCTGAAGGGATGGAGGTGGTCTTTCAGATATTTGGGTCCTAAGTCATTTTAGGGCTTTAAACACCAATGTATAGATGGAAGCTGGAAACATGGTGCACAGTGCCACTTGCCAGGGTGTTAAATAAGGAAGGCTGCTTTAACAATTGTACTGTGTTGGAGGGCTTGTTTTAAAGGTTAAAACCATCCTATGCTGTGTTTCCCTTCTGGGCAGCATACTGAGGCCCCATACCAGTGATGGGTAGGACCAGAAACAAAAGTAGGCAAAACAATTAAATTTTACTTTTGTGCAACAGTGTTCATACACCCTTCTCTAGCCTCCATTCAGACAAGCAAGGGCACATTCCAGCCAGGCAGAATCAGGGCTCATGGGATAGTTCCAGGGGCCAGATAGAGTGGCATGGGGGCCATATTCAGCCCCTGGGCCTGAGTTTCCCAACCATTACCTTAAATTCTCTGGGTCTGCAATACTTTATTTTATTTTATTATTTTATTTTATTTATATACTGCCCTATACACAGAGGTCTTAGGGTGGTTCACAGGAAATATCACAATATATAAAATAAAAACAAAAACAAGGGAGTACTGGCATCCCATTTGAACAGACCTGCATATCATCATCATCATCTTCCATTGAAGCCCCGGATGCGCTAGCCATAAAAAAAAATAGGGATTGGACTTTCTCAGAGGTAGCACCAAACTTTGGACCTTCCTCCCTAAGGAAGTTTGTCTTGCTTCTTTGCTTTTCCAATATAGGGCTGTTCTGAAAAGAGATTTTGTCTTCAGCATTGTATTAACTGTGACTGTACTGTAGTCCTGATCATTTTTTACCAGTTGTATTGTGACTTAAATAATACTGTGAGCAGCCTTGCTGATTCCTGAATCCAAAGGCAGAATAGAAATCATTTCATAACATTAATAATTTCTTCTGCATTGTGCACCATTAACTGATGTTTTTGTGTGTTGTCCAGTGATGAAGGAATACTTAAAAGTTGCTGGAGTACCTTTAAACAATTGGGTACTAATAATCATTTGCTCAACCTTATATGTTACGTATCATCCTTGTAGTCATTATAAAATATGAACCTCAACCTTGTATTCTTGTACATCACTACTTCTCAACTACTGCCACCATGTGAGAGAAAAGGGGAAGGTTGTTCCTGAAAGTTATATTCTGCTTTTATTATTTGTAAATCTAGTTCTGCTGGCTATAGAGCACATACAGAATTACAGGTTGTTGTTTTGTCACTCCCCCCCCCCAAAAAAAATGAAAAAGATGCTTGAGGATTTGATCACCGAAGCAAAAGAAGAAGAAAGCAAGATTGCAGGTGTTATTAATGACACGTTTTCAGATATTATTGCTTCCGTAAATTCAAGGTAACCTGGTTTAAAGCTTTTACTTTGATGTTAATAATTTATCTGAAAAGTATTACATAACTATAATAATGCAGATTTCTGTGTGGCAAAATGTTTAGCAAAATGCCAGCTTCTGTGACGTGGGAGGGACTATATGTAGCAGGAGTCCTGGAAGGACACAGGGAATCTGTGAGCTCAGATCCATTGCTTACCCTACCATGGAGTTGCTATCGGCAAAGACTTGACCATCAAGTTTCAGGGTAGATTTTTGCCTTTGCTGTAATTGTCCTTTAGTGCAATACTTTTCTGAATGCCCATATGAATTAAAAGGCAGTTGCATATTCAAAACAAGAATTTTTCAAAACATCCACCTTCTAATTTTCCTCCTCTTGCACCTCTCTCTCTTTTTTCCCTATGATTTTTACAGTTTCATTTCTACTAAAGTTGTTGTTTGGAGTGCTATGGATGCTTGCAGCTTGCACGTCTTGTGCCCTTGAGCATTTAGAATGTGTTCAGCATGAAGAGCTGGCTGTTAAGGATGCATTTTTGTGTGGTATATGCAGTATCAGTCAGTTGCTTGTTATGAGGACAATAGGTGATAGTTATCCAGCATTAATCATACTCAAGAAATCCATTGAGTGCACTCATTGTAGTGGATCTACTCTTGAGTATGTCTTAGTTGGTTATCGCCCAGTAAATATAAATCTGGCGTTTTCTGTAGTTTGTAATTTTAATATCGCCAAAACCTTATTTTTAACGTGAGTACTGTATGTTTGTTTTATATAGTTTACTATTCAGAGTTATTATTTGTAACGTGATCAACTTTTTCTGAGGTCTGATTTTCTTTGTATTCAATTAGGAAAAGGAAACTGGAGACAGAACTGATAATGAACACCAGTTACTATATAACTGATATACATAGTGTTCAGTTATCGGTTATGCAGAAAATAAACAGTTTGGATGGAGCCATAAAAATGGCAAGGGAGATAAAAGCAACCCATTCCTTAAAGCCTTGCCATAATTTAAATCAGGTAACTTTAATATTAAATCATTTGATTCCTTAACTTTCCTTCTGGGTATGTATGTATGTATTTGAAAGTTTTATATCCTATTTTCAGGAAACATATCTTTTCAAAGCAGTTCTCAGTAATACAACCACAATTTTCAACAACCAGATGACAACAGTGCAGCTACTGCAGAGTTGTCAAGCATTGCTGGTAGCCCAACATTTTACATTAGCTTTTTTTTATCAATTAAGCAGAGGAATTGAACTCATTTGCTTATTGTGGTAACTTGCAAGCCAATGAAGTCTTCATATAGCTGACTGAAAACAAAAACAACACGTCTTTAAGCAAGTGGAAATAATGAACTTTCTCCATTAGTCTTTAATTTCTCATGTCAGAGCTGTCATGAGAAGATTTTTCCTCTTTGGCTTGGTTTTTATTTTTACTGAATTGTTTTTTTACAGAAAGCATTGTCTTTTTGATGAAAAGTCACAGCAGTTTAGTATGATAGAAGCATTCAAGGTAGGATCATTTGATTTAGGTCTGTAGCCTCAGCTAGTTTTTCAGGGTTCTTTTGGTTCCTTTATTCCTAAAGCCACTGCACATTTTCATAGATCTTAAGAGCTTACCATTTTTGTCCCAACCCTTTCCATCCCTCTGAAAAGGCATGGCAGAAGCTGGATGTGCACAGAGTACTTAAAATACATATACAGTGGTAGCTCGGGTTACATACGCTTCAGGTTACAGACTCCGCTAACCCAGAAATAGTACCTCGGGTTAAGAACTTTTCTTCAGGATGAAAACAGAAATCGCGCGGCGGCAGCGGGAGGCCCCATTAGCTAAAGTGGTACCTCAGTTTAAGAACAGTTTCAGGTTAAGAACAGACCTCCAGAACAAATTAAGTTCTTAACCCGAGGTACCACTGTAGACAGATTTTAGGCATTCACCCCCTTTTACACCACGTCCTCAGAGAAGTACAGTGGTACCTCCGTTTACAAACAGCCCTGTTTGCGAACAATTCAGTTTATGAACTCCACAAAACCGGAAGTAGTGTTCTGGTTTGTGAACTTTACCTTGGTCTGCAAACAGCACTGATGGCAGGAGGCCTCATTAGGGAAAGCGTGCCTCGGTTTAAGAATGGGTGAAAGGAACGGATTAAGTTCGTAAACCGAGGTACCACTGTAGTTTCAAGGTTCATCCTAGCCATTTCAAGACTTATTTCTCTACAGCATATTAGGCTTGGCATCTGCCTTCACCTCTCCTAAGTCATGCTTGACCAGAGCAACGGCTACTTCTGCAGCCTTTCCACAATCATCCTTTCTGAAATCTTTAGGGCAGCAATGTGGGCACCAGCCAGGACTTGTTTCCTTTGAAATTGTTTCCTTTGAAATCAAATGGGACATCACTAACTTCACGCTAACTCTCCAGTGTTCAAGACCACGCTCAGCTCCCATTAGTTGCTATATTTTACTGTAAATTAAATTAGGATGTTCTTATTCTAGGTTCTCTGCAACTTAAAAATGACTTTGGAGGAAGACGTCTTAAAACTAGATCATCTGAAAAAAAGAGCACTTCCAAGGTAAACATTCGTAGAATTACTTAGTGTGGATAGCAGAGTTACTGCAGCTTTAAAAATATTGCCTTACAGCACCTTTAAAAAAAACCATACTGAATTTGTAGAACTGATAAATAAAATTAAGAGTTGCATATACTTCACTCGACCCTTTGCAGGAGGTCTGGAGTTCAGCATGTTATATGGGGGATCTATCAGCCTGGTGCACTAGAAATGTTTTGGACTACAACTCTCATTAACTCCCAGTGAACATGCAGATCGCCCCCTCCTCAGCCCTTAAATTGATGGCTTGATAACCGGAAAATGGGTGGTCCCCCTCCCATGTTAGCTGACATGCATAAATTAACTGAGTGGGAGTGTCTCTGCATGCGCACACATGCCCATGTACATACACTGGTGGCCACACCCACTGCTGGCATGCAGCTCCCAGAGGTTTGGCCAAAGGTGAATGTCTGTGGTTGAGCCAAAAAAAGGTTACCCACCATGCCTTATAGAGAACCTTCACCTATATACCCCCTCCTGGATTCTGAGAGCTTGGAGAGATGATCCCATCAGATTTCCACCTTTTAGGGAATAAGTTCTACTTATGCACAGGGCAGGTCATTTTCGGTAGCGTCAGTTAATCTATAAAATAGGACTCACTAGATACGCTTGGCAGTCACCACAACACTGCCAATTTTGGCATTTCACTGGATGCTTTAAAACATTTTTTAAAAGCCAACCGGGAAGTCCTTTAGAGCAGGAGTTTCTTAAATGGTTTTTACTGTTAACGCTTTTTATTGCTGTATTTACTTGTGGCATACATGGTGGTGGTTATCACGTGTTTTTGTTTTTTGGGAGTAATTCTGATTGTGGGTTTTTGCAGTTTAAATCTGATTGTGATCTTGAGGCATTAACATACAATTGTGCTATGAATGTAGTAGATTTATGGTGCTAAAAATTGCTGTTGTCCTGAATGAATTATTGTGGTTGCAAACAATTGAACCTCCTGTATATCTAATATAGGTTTCACATGGACTCTGAAAAGATTACCCCCATGTTAGAAAACCTGGGGAATTTTTTCCCTGATACACCTAACATGTAAGTACTTCTATTTTGGTGTTAGCTTTCCTAATATAAAAAGGGCACTTTCAGGTTTATCAATTTTCTCAGCATTCATCATTGTGCGTCATCTGGTACTTCAGTAATATGGGATATTTTTTATTTGGAAATGTGCTGGGGTAGAAACTAAGCAGTTTACCTAGAAACAATACAGAAATAAACTGGAGAGTAGTGCTCAAATAGTTCTGAGGTTCTGATCATGAATAGGATTTTTGATAGCTTGGATATAATCAGAAAACCTTACGAGTTTTGTAGTCATGAGTGATACTTAAAAATTGCTGAGCTGCTATGTAACGTGCAAAAATAATAATTAAAAGCCTAGGACTTGCTTACTAATAATACGCCATGTTTTAGGATGCTGTTTTTCCAAGGTTGTGTACAAGTAATATCAATGCATTAAAAAAACCAAAAAACAGTAAGTAATAATATACAGCAAATCAAAATGATACCTTTTACTAGTCATTTAGTAGTAGATAGCCCTGTGATGGTGGGGAAGACATCCTAGCTGGAGCAGGCTATAGAAACTTACACATGCCAACAAGTAGATCTTAAGATATAACCTAATATCTGGAAAATTAAAACCTCTTTCTGATCCTAGCAGCTGCATTATCTTATGTGACAAGCAGGGTGGTGAGTTATCCCGCATAAAACTTCCAAAATGTCCCATTAATATATTGAAAATACACTTTGGGAATGAAGTATTTTTAATATCTGCCCTGTCTTGTACTCCTCTTCAAACCTAATGGATCTGAAATATTAATGGGTGTTACGTGTGCATCTTGAAACCCTATGGGCACTTTATTATTTCTACCGAGTGTTTGCTCTTCCATGTTAGTGATGGCTACTGCTTAAGATATGTTTTCTGAACAATTTGTCAATCTAGGTGCAGTTTTGAAGGCAGCCTTCTAAAACTGAGCAATATGGAAGAGGAATTCAGAACTGATGTTCCATCTCATATAAGTGCAAACCTTGAACCACTTGTTGAAGACATTGGCACAGTTGCTCTTCTGCCAGAATCTGATGCATGTCTTGAAGGAAATTATACCCACCTCCAAGAAATGACTCCTCCATTCACTCAGAAATGCATTTCTGCTTTACCTCAGACAGCATCCTCTCCAGATGTCATAATTGAAGAAATCATTGAAGATGATCAAGAAAGTGAGTAGAACTTTCCAACCGGTTGCCAGAGTTGTGTGGCTAATTCCCTTCGTTTTTAAAACAATATTCTTACAAGAACATAGCAACCTGCTCTTGATGCATTGTTTTTCTTACATAGGCTGCAGCTGTACAGGATCTACCAATCAATCAGTACTTTATTAATGAAATCAGTTATTACATAATTGATTTCATTAATAAAGTACTGATCGATTAAGTGAAGAAGCATATTTTAAAGGCATGTTTGCACATTCATTGGTGTGTTCAAATCATTTCTCAGAAATGAGCACCAAATCATTTCAGAATGTGCATGTCACCCTTTCTGTAACAATACAAACTTATTAATTTGTCCTGTCTCAAAATGTTGTTTTTCAGTAGTGTGCATAAATGTTCCCTATGATCTTCCTTCACTGTTACATTGCCTTTCTTACCCACTCTGTACCACACAGATGCTCCAGAATTAGTTTTTGTCAGCAGTGTTCTAAATCCTTGCCACTTCTATGTTCGAAAAGTTTCACAGAAGAAAGCAGCTGTTCGTTTGGAAAAAACTCTGAGGCAATTCTGCAATCATAAAAGGTCCTACCCTAGTGACATTTTGGAACTAGGTAACAACACTTCTCAAATCTTTTGACGAATAATGTTTATATAATTGCAGAGTTTTGTTTTTTATTCCAGTGAGGGGGATATATATTGTGGGTTTTACTAAGCAAAGCAACCTTTTAATATGGTAGAGTAGATGTCTGCAGTCATTTTGGACCCAGGAACTCATTTGGAAATCAGTCTCTTGAGGATACCACCAAAAAATGGCTGCTGTGATAGACTGCCTAATCTCAAATGTTCCTCTCAATGAGACTATTTTGCAACAAATTGTGTACTGAAACATATTTCAGGTTCAAGAATCTTTGTTAAAAGCAAGGAACATGGAATGTGGTGTCGTGGAAAAATCATTGAACTGATGCCGTTGCAGAAGACAAACGAGCTGAAACCCCGTGGTCCAACAAAGTACAAAATTTGTGATATAGCAATGATGAAAATATTCCTTTTGGACTTTGGGCATATTGAAGCTTTGATTATTTCAAGGTATGCTTTTTTGCCTTTATTTGCCTTATGCAGGAGAATTTCAAGACAACCTGCTGTAAAAACAATCTTCATAAGGCAGAAATGAACAACAATAAGAGTGCATAATTTGCTCATTTAATTGCTGATGTGATTCAAATAGTGTTCAGGCATTAATATTAAAAAAATCACAAGCTAGCTATCTGTTAACTGCATGTGGTGATGTGTATTTTGCATGTAGGTTCTCCGTGAACATGTGATTCTTCTACATCCATTCATGGTAGATGGATTATGTAATCTGGGTCTGTGCATAGAATCCGGTTCTTCCTCCCCCACCCAATTATTGATTAAAATATTTTAACTAGGGCCAGACTACCATAAAGCCAGCTATAGGGGAATTTTACAAATAGACCTTCCTGCCTTCTTCATGTAGGCCCCAGTTCATATTCCAGATTGGGTGGTCCCATGCCTGTCAGTTTGCCACGCACAAATGATATCATGGTTTCTGCTTGTTTAGGGGACATGTATGCAGAACTACATTGGTGTGTAATGAGAGGAAATTGCAAATCCCCACCCCCACTCCAATGACTCCAGGATGAGTTCATTGGCTTCCCTTGGTTCTGACGTTTCCAAATTGTTTTTAACTTCACGTACAACATACTGCAGTAGTCTTAACCTAGGGGTTATCAGTTGTATGAGCCACCCAACAGCTTGATTATTTTGCACATAGAAAACCTCGGGTTCAATTCCTGAACATCTCGCGGGTTATTACAGAGCTCTGTCCCATCATCTGATCCATTTAACTGAAGAGCCGTTGTCAGAGTAGATTATAGTTGGAGCTGGTCTAAAACAACTTATTATAAAACTATCTTAATTAGAGCAGATAGGAAATATTTTGCTGATTTGCTTTTTATGATCTCTCTTGAATAATACAGTTCAGTTGTTCCCAGTAAAGCATCTCTTAAACAGAAAACTTTTTAGACTTAAAAAATCTGCCTATTGATGTTGAAGCATTTTATTCCAAGCTTATATTGAGAAATAATATTTGTTATCTTCTCTTTCTGCCATCAAGCGTACCAAATAACATTGGCATTAATCCAGAACATATCACTCTAGAATATATAGTGACTGAAGACTTTTGCTTGGTTGTGAAGAAACCTGACATACATATAGAGGCACAACTTAGTGGTATAAATCATTTAGCACTACAGTGCTCCCTGAAGGACATTGTTCCCAAAGATTCAGTAAGTAAGAACTATATTGTCTGGACTTCTGCATTCTTAGAGAAGTTAGATAATATCTTTTTTTAAGAAACAATTGAATGTTCATATTCTGACTTTTCCTGATTGAGATGGCTTTCCCTTCCTTCGTAATGATGTAATTCTTGTATTGTACTCAATAAAGATAATAACCTAATGTGCCTAACTTTTTAGAACAGTGATCAGCAGACCTTTTCAGCACTGTCCACTGTCCCTCAGAACTTGTGGGGGGGCCAGACTATATTTTGAGGAGGGGGAAATGAACAAATTCCTATGCCCCACAAATAACCCAAAGATGCATTTTAAATAAAAGGACACATTCTACTCATGTAAAAACATGCTGATTCCCGGACCGTCCACAGGCTGGATTTAGAAGGCGATTGGGCCGGATCCGGCCCCCGGGCCTTAGTTTGCCTACCCATGTTTTAGAAGATTCAACCTTTCTTCTACACAGATCATTCCTATTTGTGATTGCACAGAATACCCATTCAAAGAACAGTTATGAGTAAACATTGCTAGTTCAATTTGGAAAAAAATTAATTGGTGTGGTATGGTGTCTGAATTATTATTTTAAAAGTCTTGATGTGTTTGGATGCCATGCAATGTACATAACAGTGTGGTTAAGTCCTGAGTTTTCTTACATATTGGGTATTTAGTAGTTCTTGGTACTGTACTTAAATCCTAAAGTCTGCAGGTGGATAGGATTCTGAACTTCTCTCTCCCCCTGCAATAGGCTGAAGGTTGGAGCAGAAAAGCAAGGACAGAATTTTTGAAAATGGTAAAAAACAAAGCTGTTCTAATGAAAGTCTTCAGAGAAGAGGATGGTGTGCTTATTGTTGATCTGATGAAACCACCAGCAAACAAAATAAGTAGTGACATGCCTGTATCTCTCAGAGATGCTTTAGTTTTTATGGACTTGGCAAGGTATATGCAGTACAAAGCATTTCAGGGTTAGAGATAAAATAGGGTTATTTTTTAAAATGTGCTTAATTAAAACTAATTCCTCTTGAAATCATGAAACACACTTTAGGTGAGTGTGATTGTGTTGGGGGAGGTTATGTCTGCTATAAAGACTAGATTAAGATGATAACATCTTATTTTTCTCTGCTGCTGGTATGATTAGCTGCAAATGCTTAATTACTAAAATTCTAGATTGTTCTCTCCAGTTGGGCTTTCAGCCACTTTATTTTTCACATTCAAACTGAATACTAAAGCCGTTCAGGTGCCAAGGTACGACTGTATTCCTTTATAACAGAGAGCAAGAATTGGCCACAAATTGACTAAAGCCCGCTAACTGTTAAATACCACTAACCTTTAAAAAAAAAAAAAAAAAGATTTGGTGTAGTGAGGGTGAGAATGGAGAATCATAGAATTGTGGTACTGGAAGGGACCTAAAGTCAGTTTTCGCCATTTTTCCATCATCCTGTTTCCCTTAATCTGTTCAGTTTATTTCCCCACCTTCCAGAGTGGATAAATGTCTTATGATTCAATTTTTTATTTTAAGATGTAAATGCTATGTTTTTCTTAAGATACAGTAATACGAAATCTGGATATAAGCATGTTAGCCCCATAGTTTATATCTTTAAACTGATCAGTGCCTCTACCAGAGACATGGAATTGAAGGCGGCGTCTCTGTGTAAATGAAGTCCGATCCTTCCCAATATCTGCATATCCTACTCTACCTGCCAAATAATGGCATTTCATTTCCATCTCATGAAATAAACTGCTTGGGCTTGCCCAGTAACTTTCAGACCTTGTTCCTACTTACCGGTCATGGGCATTTCGTTTTTGTTTGCTGATTTGTTCTTGTGGGGCTGCAACTGGGCGAAGGCAGAGTAAAGCAGAAAAGGGCAACACTAGAAAGTCAGGAAAGAGGAAACAGTCGGCTGTGCGTGTTCCTATATTGTCATACTTTGCCTGCAGTCTTACACACAAATACCGTATTTTTCCGTCTATAAGACGCCCCCATGTACAAGACGACCTCTATTTTTTAACCCAAAATTAAGAAAATGCACTATGCGCTATCCATGTATAAGACGACCTCTTATTTTAAACTTCAAAATTTAGGAAAAAATACAGTCTTATACAAGGGGAAATACAGCATGTCTTGCGCCTTCTCAAATGTGTTTCAAATGCAGGTCATTAAATTGGTTCTGTGAAATTCAGTGGAAGCCAGTGCTTTTTTTCAAGGGGTGCTCAAGGGTACACAGTATTGGCACCTATTTTCTTTTTATTGTTAAAAATTGTGGCACTTACTGTAAAAACTTCATCGTGAGTAATGGCACCTATTTTTCTAGAAAAAGGCAGTGGTGGGGGCCATAGAAAACTTCCTCTTGTGGCTGACTTCAGCAGTTCATTCTAGATTCTTACTTTACTAGGTTTCGTGCTGAAGTTTCTGATCAACCGGAAAACATTGAATTCCTGCAGTACTGGGCACCTGCGATACCAGAGGAAAATACAGAAGTCACCATTGTTGTTAGTTATATTACTAGCCCAGGTGATTTCTACATTCAGCTAGTAAGTATTATTCAGTATATTTAATTTTTGTGTTGACATTATTGAAAATGCTTCCTGAGATTTGTATGATATGATTTGATTTGTTATTAATTTTGTTATTAATGGAAAATTGATAAAAAATATTTTACAAAAATAAAAGAAATGCTTCCTGAAATGCTTTACACTTTCTATTTTGGAACATAAATAGATAAGTTTATTGCTGGAAATTGGGAGTAGTATGTTTTTCAAGTTACCATTTCAGATGTATAAAATACATTAATAGATCTTTTTCTAGTGCTTGTTTTATATATAGATCACTCGGAACCTAGATACTTTTTAGCTCTCTGCCTTGCTTTTATTGGGCTCTGAGAGGTTCTTGTGAGATGTTAATGGGGATGATGAGCCCATGTGATGCCCTCCCAAGCCCATTAAGCAAGGCAGAGAGCTTAAAAACTCTTGCCGTGCCAGAAAATCTCGGCATGGAAAGAGCTTAAGAGCTCTCCACCTTGCATGTGATTAATTTGCAATGTCAACTGAGCAAGTCTCCCATATCAGCTGCCTTTTCTCATCTATCTGATATGCATCTTCATGCATCAGTCTGGCTTCAGTGTGTCATGTGCTACTTTCCCCAATTTCTTCAGCAGATGTAAAATCGAGTACTTTAGGTACAGAGTGCATCAGTTTGACTTTCTGTGTGATGTAACATTTAGTAAGAGTGTGTTGGCTGCAATCCATAGGGATTAATACTGTTTCCGTTGTATTAGGTAGAAGAGGGTCCAGAATTTGCAGCTTTTCTGAGCAAAGTTGAGGAAGTATATAAAAATGACAGCAGAGTTGGCTTGGAAATTCTCTGTCCGGTCCAGGGTCAACCATGCATAGCAAAATTCGAAGAGGATGGAGTTTGGTACAGGGCACAGGTTGTTGGTAAGTAACTGTAGTATTAGGTTAGAGGACTTTTGTTTTGACGCTTCCCCCACCCCCAATAAAATCACCTCTATATTTTCAAGACACCTATTTAATTCATTTTCTGTTTTAAATGAATGCTGGTTTTTCCCATTTCATTCTCCCACTGTGATTTCTTTTTCTTATGTCCAAGTAATACACCCATCTTTCCTACAATGAAGCAGGGTTTAATAGCCACATGGCTCGACTTTTCTAGTTTGTGCTAAACCATAGGTAGGTTGAAGTTGCAGCAAAAACAGGCAAACGATGGTTCACAGTTGAGCTCCAAATGAGAATCTGAAACCCACTTCAAAATTTAGGTTTTAATTCTGATCTGTGGGGCAAGCGTTAAACCGTGGTTTGCCATTTCGGATATGGGGTGCCGTAACTTGTTCATTAACATGCTACTGTTCTTAGTTTTTTAATAGAACATATAAAACCATAGATATTTTTTACTGAAAAACAGGTTAATGAATTCTCTTTGTTTAATAATGTAAAAGAGCATCTGACTCTTGTGTGTTGATATTGCCATTATTAAAAATTGCCATGTATGCAGTATTTGATGGATGGTTTTGAAGGAAGTGATGTTGATTTCAAAGTTTGTGTGTGGAGCTCAGATGGCATTACATGTATCTGCAGTAACATCGCTCTCCTTAATGCTGCACCTCAATCACCAAGGTACGGCTGGACTGAGACTGTTACTGTTGTAGATGTACACAAATGTTTCCTATAATTTTATAATGTCCACGTATCATTGATTCCTAACCGCATAATGTTTTCTAAAGGATTGCCAGGCCACCAAGAAGTTGAGGTTAAATATGTTGACTTTGGGAACACTGCTAAAATAAATGTGCAAGACATGCGTAAAATCAAAGATGAGTTTTTAGCCCTCCCAGCGAAGGTAAGTTAGAACTGCATCCCGCATGAGGTAAATCTAAATATGCAGAATGCCGTGTATTCCTGACAAAGCACCTTCTACGCAGCTTGGAGTTCAGTTCCTAATGCTTGTGAATTATCTCCTCTTATAAAGTGTAATTCTGTGTCCACTAAATTCTAACAATGTGATAAATGTAATGGGTAGAAGTGAGCCGTGTGTCAAGCTTTTCTCTAAGAATCTCTCTCCCCTCCAACGCATGCAGAGCCAAAGAAATTTGCACACAAGTGACATGTTTTAAGAGCAGGGCAAGCTGCTGTTGTGCGAAAGGTAGGCACCCTGTGTCTCAGCAGTGGGTCCAATAATACTTTGTGCTATAGCAAGAAAACACTACAAGAGATGCTTACTTAATTGTTGCCTAGATTAGAGATTGCTGGGAGCCCTGTGTAAGCACACTGAAATTTCATTAAAGGAATGATGGCATTGAAACTAAATAAACAAATTAGGCTATGTTTTATAATTTAGGCCATCAGGTGCAAGTTGGCCCATATCACACCAAATAAAGGAGCAAATGAATGGAGTAGTAAATCAAAGGACAGATTTGAAGAACTAATTCAAGATAAATGTATGCTCTGCTTTATTATTGGTAAGTGTTCGCCTGTCTTGAGTAACTTATTCAGTAATTGAGAGCCAAATAGAGTTGCTGGCTCAAAAACCAAATCGTCCATTATCACTCAGTGGACAGCAACTTGATAGGGATAGTGCCTCCTATCCAGCCTGTCAGGGAACGTCTCAATTTCTCCTTGGGATAAGTACCTTAATGATGTTAGGACTGCTTGCTGCTCTGGTCATTGGTGTAGGACTATTTCCCTTTCCCTACCTAATTGGATTAGCTGGGTGGTCAGCTATGTCCAGCCAGCAACACCGGGGCAGCTTATTCCCAACCCGATCAATGGTTTTCCAGTTGGGAGGAGGGGCAAGTATTTGGAATTCAGCCATAAAACATGCTGGCTAACTCTTAAGTCACAAAATAAAATTCCTTCCAGTAGCACCTTAGAGACCAACTAAGTTTGTTACTGGTATGAGTTTTCGTGTGCATGCACACTTCTTCAGATACTCAAAATGCACACAAAAGCTCATACCAATAACAGACTTAGTTGGTCTCTAAGGTGCTACTGGAAGGATTTTATTTTGTTTTGTTTTGACTACGGCAGACCAACACGGCTACCTACCTGTAATCTTAAGTCACAGTATCTGATTAACCTACATCACATGACCATTTTGGTGACAAATGAGATAAAATTATTTGTAAGAATATGGAGCTTTGGAAATTTCGGAGGCTTTCAGAACACTTTAAAAAAAAAAATCCAGTTTTTTAATGCAGAGACTTAAATTATCTGTCACATAAATATACAGGCACTACATTTTATTAAGTAATTGGTTTTCTTTGTTCCTCACCTTTCTACGTAACTTTTTAAGATAGCATACAAAATGCAAAAGCAATTAAAAATCACAGTAGGTAAAAGCAATAAAATCCCAACATAATGAAGTAAAATAAAATGGTTCGCAGCTAAGACCTTCATCGTGCCGCCTCCTTTCTCCAACACTCGTAGCTAATTTTTTTCCTGTGATATTTTGAACTTAAACCTCTTTCAACTACCTCTAGAAAAATCTGAAGACAATATACTGTCTGTTGAGCTCTATGAAAGTGTATGTGTGCCACCAAAGGCATCTTGGAGTGTTAACAGCCTCTTGGTTAATGAAGGTCTGGCATCTTATATATTAAGGTGAGTGTGCTGCTTCATTAACTTCAACACGCTCATAATCTTTTTGCAACTTCTGAATTCGAGCAGCCTCAGTGAAGTGTATGTAATGTCATCTCAGGTAGTGCTTAAATGGCTCGGCTTTGAGATGTGTACAAACCTAGACTCATGATTTTGTCTCATTCCAAACAAACTGAACACTAAGCCAAGAAACAAACCTTGGTTCACAGCTCATGGTTCATTTTGGAGCAAGACAAATCACACCACAAGCCCAAGTTTGTGCATAGCAAGGGTAGAGTGACATTGTGGTGATTTTTTTAAAATTTATTTTTACTGTAAACCATCACTCTTGCTTGTTTACACTCAGCCATGGTTTGGCTTAATGTTAAACATGCCAACCAGGTCTTTGTTTAAAACTTGTTGGTCATGTTTTGTGGAGGGCATTTCTGCTTCTATTTGTCTGATACTGGCAGATGAAACAAAAAACTAAATAAAACCAAATTCTACAGTGACACCAAAATGATTACCGAATCACATCATGAAGTTTGGGATCCTACTCCAGAAGAACTATTCAAAGCTCATGGAGATAATTTACAGCCTGGGAATGAAGAGTCGGTACCGTTTGAAGGTACAAAATTAGATTGCAGCAAAGAACTGCAAGTGCGAATTAGTCACGTTGTGTCCCCAAGCAAGTTCTACGTGCATTTGATGTCATCAGAACAGATTCTGAAAAGGTAAGTTCTTTTTCCCACTTGACCTGGGTCAGAGCACTTCATGCTTTTTGGTTCTTTTCATTTTTTACAATTGTTGTTGCATAATTTTACGTATTCCACATCTCCTGCAGGATGATGATGAAAATAGCCATTAAACTAAGAAAGGAGTCTTTGCTGCCAGTGTGCCATGTTTTTTCCATAAAATAACCCCTGAGGACCACAGAAAGTCATCAGAATGTTGTGTCATTCCAGGGACTTGCTGTATTTGTGATTAATGTGTACCAGTGGCAAGACACCCAGCATGTTGGCCACTTCCGATTGTGGGTGGCTGGCACGCCAATGCTTGAAAGTTAAAGACAGAGAAATATTTTACATAGATGGATTAATAAATAGAATAGACATACACATGTATGGGGACAGGAAAGACTTGGTCCTATCCTCATGCAGAACTGGGATGGACCAGATTTTTATGGTCCTTTCATCCCTTTACCTGACATAAACGGTGAAAGAAAGCAACCAACTCTTTCTGGCCTGCTCCTGCCTACTCTGCGAAGGGAACATTCAAGCTAAGTGCTCCGTGTTCTGTTTGGACAACGTGCTCAAGATGATGGTGGGAGTTCAGCTACAAGCATACTAGGAGCAAATTAATTATCTGGAAGAAAGGATGAAAGGAATGCAGCCCTGGTTATGGTTTATGAACTTAGTGGTTTTTTGTACCATTGACCACAGTGTCCTGGAGAACCTCTGGTGATTTAGGGCTGGAGGCATGGTTTTGCAGTGGATTCCACTCTACCTGCTGGGGGTGGTTTCTGAAAATAGTAATGGGCTTTTTTGCTCAGCCACGTGGAAACTGACCTTCAGGATTCTGCATGGTTTGATCCCAACTCCCATGGTATTGAACATCTGTATGAAGCTGCTGACAAAAATGAGTTGGAGTAAAGTATCATCAAATATGCAGACAACATGAAAATTCCCCCTCTTCCATCTGACTCGGAAGAGGCGTTATGGGCTGGTTGTGGGTCGGTTGAAACCATACAAAACAAAGTTGTTCTGGGTTCTTGGATACTGGATTTGAAGAGGTACCTTGTTCTAGATGAGGTTGGACTCCTCTTGAAAGAGTAGGTGCGTAGCTTGAGTTGCTCCTAGAGGCTATATTGTCACTAGAAGCCTGGGTCGCTTCTGTAGCTAGGGATGTCTATTCTCTGCTTGAGCTGGTTCATTAGCTATAAGTTTTCCCAAACAGAGGGAGACTAGCTGCAGTGGACGATTGCAATGTGTTGTTAGGTGGTGCTGCCTTTGAAAAAGGTTCAGATGTTGCGAAATGCACCGTTGGTTAATGGGCACCACTGTCTGGTTTCATATAACAGATTCTAAAAGAATTGCATTGGTTGCCAATTTAGGTTCTTATGATGACATATAAAGAAAGCCCTGGTCAACTTGGGGTTTAAATATTTGAAAGAACGTTTTGAGATGAGTCCCTTCTTGTGCTACTGCTGCTGATTAAGGTCCATGGGGTGGAATGACATCACATGTACAGTTTTATTGATGCTTTATGATTTCATGTTTTATGAGTTCCCCTTTAGAAATATTGCTAATTATTTTGTGTTAATGTCATATTTGTTAAAGTCCTTGGAACTAAATGGTGAAGCGTGGGTTCTAAACGCACAAAGCAGAAGAGATTGTGCATTATTTTCAAGACTGGAAAATAATGTACAGTTGTAATCCTAACAAATAAATTATTGACCCTACTGTATAGATCTTTAGCCTTTAGAAAAGTATGTTTCTTTCAGCACAATACTGGCAATGTAGATTTGATTGTCTATTTGGCTACTTATAATAGTTTACAGGAAAAGATGGCAGCCACTTACTTGGAATCAGAAAGAGAAATAGTTGAATGGAAAATTGATATGAATTGTGCTGCTTATGTACATGATCTGAATCAGTGGCAGAGAGGCCAAATCCGCAGGATTGTTTCAGAAAGTAAACTTGAGGTAAATGCCATTATAAAATCACTACTTTATGTAGATAAGTATCACTGCGTTCATTATGACTAGGAAGCACTCATTTAGTGATTTAATATGTGGAATTTAATGCATTCTTTATCCTAGATAAAAACTTAACTTATTAATCAGTTAAACAGGCTAAATGATGTATTACTTCTTTTGAAAATGAATGAGAGATTTTTGCAGTATCATAATGAGGTTTGTACTCTGTAGCCGGCTAAGAGAAGTTTCCTAACAAAGCCAGCCAGAGTTTTGTAGGTCCGTGATAAGTCTAATTTGGGCTATTGAAGAACTGTATTTTTCCTACACCTGTCTTTTGCAGGTGTTCCTCATTGACTTTGGCATAACTAAAACTATAGATCCTGTCTCCCTAAGAGAACTTGAGCAGAATCTGAAGATGCACAAGCCTCTTGCAATGGAGTGCTCACTAACAGACATCAGGTAAAGTGTCCGTTTCATTCGGTTCTGGAACATGCTTCCTCCCATTCTGCAGGTGTTGCAGCGGTGTTGGGATTTGAACTTGGGCCTGAAGCAGGGTGCCCAAACCTGTATCTCCTATACCATGTGTTCACATGCCATGTAGAAGCACTAGGAGTGGCCATTTCCAGTACTCCTTGGGCAGCATTTGTATTTGTCAACAAGACTTTGAAATTTCTCTATTTTTAAAAGAAGGAATGAGACTCATTGGGCAATTGAAAAACATAATGCTTAATCGAACTGATGCTGTTACAGACGTTCTGCCTGCCGGAAGATCTGTGTCCTCTCCAGCAATTGTATGAACAATAGGGGAGAGGGTAGCATTTGAGAGGAAATGATTTTTATTTCATTCCTCCCTATGCATCTTGTTTTAGACCAGCTGGTGGGACTGAGCAGTGGACAGGAACTGCCTGTGATGTTCTTGCACGTTACTTAACTGGAGCTGTGGTAAACCTAATAATACAGGTTAGTAGCGTTATAGGCCTAACTTTAGTAGAGAGCTTTGTAGTAGTAAATGTCTGATTTACCAGTGCAAGTTTTTTGGGGGGAGAATTGTAACCTCTTTGTACAACTGAAACATGGAGTATGTAGTTGGCTAAGATACTGGAACGTGTCTCTCTATTACTTCGGGCCCCCAAGATTCTGTATGGATGGAGACTTGGAATATGCCTTAGCTCACACAACCGTGAACACTTCTCTCTAGGGAGGAAGTGACAAAATGTATGTGTGGTTCTGCTTTGTTAGAACTAGAATTGGCCAGTATTTTTACTAGCTTCTCCCTGTAGTGAAAAGAGCACAATCTGGCTGCTGTGATAGAATCCAGTTGGTTAAGTAATGACAACGAATCAGGTAGTTGGCTAAGAACACTTCAGCCAACATCAAAGTCTCCTTTGGAAACCATTGAGTTTAGTGAAAACTTGCCAGCTTATGTTGAGGGAGCGGGCAGATCATTTTAAGGAGACGTTGGCTTGTCAGCAAGCCCTTCCTGGCATAAAATTTCCGGCGTTTAATTTGTGATTTCAACCGGTCGGCCACCAAGCGTGTAAAGTTGAAATTGTGCAAGTAAAATGCACCTAAGTTATGAGCCTGCTCTACAAGCAAATACTTTGGTTGGCATCCATCTGTTTCGAGAGGCAATGGAGGAGTGTGCCTTTGGGGTAAAGTAACACTGTTGGGAGGTTGCAGTTGACGTTCTGCATCCCAGAACCCTTCATTTGGGGTTGGTCACTCCCTCCTGCAAGAAAGGTTATGGCTGTGTCCAAATATGCAAGATAGCTATTGATGATTCTATCTGGTTTATCTGCAAACAGGGTGACATCTAGGCCAGTGTTCAATATCTAGCAAAGAGTATTGTGCAGAGATGTCAACAACATTATCTTCAGTTGTTCTGTATGATGTATGTTAATATCCTAGCTGTAAAAACATCCAGGAATACAAATTATTGTCTTAAGTCTGGATGCCAGTACTTGGCTTTCTAATTGCCTATCCCATTGATTAGAATATGGAGGGTTCCCAAATTCTGTCACTGTACTTGCTCAGGATGGTTTAAATGAGGCCTGGTGGTGAAGGGAACACATTTTAAATAAACAGAAGATGCCTCAGTTCTAAACATTTCTCACTAATCTTCACCCAATTGGCCTTTTAAGATCTAAAATTTGATCTTGTTTTGTTACATGTTTTGTGTTTTTATCTTACATTTTTATGCTGTGAACTACCCTGCAATTTACAGATGAAGGGCAGAATACTAATTTAATAATACTAATAGTCTACTCAATTCCTTTCCCATTTATTCCTCAATCTGGTAATCCAGTACTACTACGGTCCAATCATAAATACATATTTTTGGAAAGTTAGCCATACTCCTCTCACAGAAGCTTGTGCCTGTTTACAATTTCATTTACTAATATATAGAAGTTGTGAACTCAGCACAAATATCTAGGATTTGTTGCATTTCCTGACATATGTCAGTAAACTAGCCGTTCACTGTGTATTAATTTGATGGTTTGGCCAGTCGCTGCACACTGAAGAACCTTGTTTCACTTTATAGTAGTAATACAAAACCAACAATAGCTGCCTTTTCTTACAAGAAGTATGTTTTATCCCAGGAAAGTAACACGTCACCTTTACCTGTGAAAGTTTTTAGCAAAGATGGAGGGCTATATACTGACATTTCGGAATACATGATTAAAGAAGGTTTGGCATTTAGAAAAAGAAGGTATGCATTTTTCAGAATATTTATGCTCTTTTGGGTGCTGGATGTCTCCAAGTGAGTTTAGCACTCCCTATCGCTTGAAGGCAGGAAATAGTGTGACTTCAAAGGAAGTATTTAGCACTTCCTTCCTATTGAAGCCTAAGTTCATTTCCTTCCTTTGTTCAGAGAAAACCACTTGGGCAAAGCTATCGCCTGTGGCTTTAGACAATACAAGAGCATTGTAATAACTGAGTTGCTTTATATAAAAAAGCTTTAAACATTTGAAATGAACTATATAAAGTGAAGTATTATTATTTGTTACTTGAATCAAGTTTAATGTTAGAAGAAGAAGAAGAAGAGTTTGGATTTGATATCCCGCCTTTCACTCCCTTTAAGGAGTCTCAAAGCGGCTAACATTCTCCTTTCCCTCCCTCCCCCACAACAAACACTCTGTGAGGTGAGTGGGGCTGAGAGACTTCAAAGAAGTGTGACTGGCCCAAGGTCACCCAGCAGCTGCATGTGGAGGAGCGGAGACGCGAACCCGGTTCCCCAGATTAGGAGACTACCGCTCTTAACCACTACACCACACTGGCTCTCAACATTAGTAATGTTACTAATTCCTAACAAAGCCAACAGCTGCTAGCACCTCAGACAACCAGACTCGGTTTAGTTTATCAATAGTATTAAGGACTAATTAGCACTAGAACTCTTTAAGAAAGGTATTAGAGGGTATTTTTCACCAAGTGTCATCTAGCTCTTTGGAAAAGCCAGATGGAGATAATTTCTTCATGATGTTGGGTGAATGATAGGCAGGTGGTCTTACCCACCTGTCAAAGTTGCCCCATGAGTAGGTAAGTTCAGGGTCAGGTCCCCTTAGTAACTTTCCTAAGCTGCAGAATTCAAGAAAAGAATTGGCCTGAAAAAGTCTTTGGGCTAGAAATAAAATTAGAGCTTGAATGTTATTTGATTCCTTTACTTGCTGACATATTTTCTGTTGAAGCTCCCTTAGAGCACCTAGTACAACATCCCTTGAGAAGCTACCTGACACGCCCTTCCAGCAGGAGAATGTAGACGTAAGGCAATTGCTTGCAGACACAGAATGTACACCAACCTCTTCCAAACCAGAGAAAGACGCTGATCCTTCAATCACAGATCACAAAAAGCAAGAATTGAAGGTCTCTTTGACTTGCCCTGTAACGGTTGAAGCCTACAAACCACCAGCTGTCCCTACCTCACTCGTCTTCAGTGCTGTAGTCAGCTGCGTTTCAGACACGGGAACTATTTATGTGATTCCAAAGTCACAAGGTAAAAGGGGAAATGTTGTACAGCAGTGATGATACGCAATTGCAGCATTAGTACACGATTTTCTTAACACTTGATTTTTACTGATTTGTATCAATAAAATACAACACAAACCTTGCAAAACAACATAAACTGAGCTGTGCGCCACAGCTCAACAGCATAGCAGGAAAAGCAGCCAGAGTTGGATGCAGAGAAAGGAAACAAACTTTGAGACTAGAAACCAGAGTCCCTCCAAAAGGAGACATTGTTCGCCAAAGAATTTTATCTCAGTACTTGCATATATAATAAATTGGAACTGTGTTGCTGAGAACTTGTCTGTGTGTATTTCTCCCCTAGCTTTTCTACATTGTTAATTTTTCAGCCAGAGCCAGTTGCCTGACCCTAGCACACAAACTATTAATTGAACAGCCACTCAGATCCACGAGTAAGCCATGATTTCAAGTCTGGCAGCCACTAGGAATTTGAGTATCAAATCTTTTATATGACACTACTCATTCTAAAGAGAGGGCAGCGGAATAGGATCAAGTACTACAAATTGCTGGAAAATGAAGGGAGTACTACAAAATGCTGGAAAAAGGAAGTCTGCACTATTGCCTAGACCAGTTTTCCCCAAACCTGGGTCTCTAGCTGTTTTTGGACTACAATTCCCATCATCCCTGACCTACTGGTCCTGCTAGCTAGGAATGATTTTTCCCAAGTATGGGAAACTGGCCTATGCCTTCCATAAATGAAAGAGGGTGCCTTTAACTGCACCTGCTCCAGCAATAGTTGTGACAAATTTGGATTTATATAATTGAATGTCACAGGAGTCCATTGCTAGCCATGTGTTAGCTGTAAACTGGCTTCTCTAATTTCTGTTATGATCCCTATCCTAGTACTTTGCACAAACGTTCTGTTAGTTAACAGTCAGTCCTATTTTGTACATAATAATAATTACTATTATATACCCCCCATCTGGCCGGGCCTCCCCAGCCACTCTGGGCAGCTTCCAACAGGATATTAAAAACGCAATAAAAGATCAAACATTAAAAACTTCCCTATACATGCAGTTTGCAAATGAGTACCAGCTTTTTTTAATAATAAAAAACATAATGCCAGTATATCATGAAGTAATTTATATTTAGAGGTAGCATTTTTACAGTAGCAGAGGCCGGTCTATTCCATGGAAACAGTGAAGAAAGAGGCCCCCCCAAAAAATCCTTCCCTGGGAGAAGGATTGCCTCTTTCTTGTCTGTTTCTACTTTCTCTGAACTAGAGCAACCTCTCCTAAAGTGTAAATAATGCTGCCACTCATACCTCAAGGAAATTTAGCATTTTATTCAAATACATTTTATGTTCCAACTCTTAAATTATTCCGTTAAGCCATTATATTGATACTCCACTATATGAATATATGGAATATATGGAACTTGGTTGAAAATGATAATATAAATGGCTTTAACAAAGCTCCCTTCTTGCCATTTTTCTTCAGAGCAGCAGCTAAATACACTGATGAGCGATATACAGAAGAACTTCAAATGTCTAGGTCTTTTGGAACCCTACAGTTGGAAAAAGGGAGAAGCTTGTGTTGTAAGAGCAGCAGATACATTGTGGTATCGAGGGGAAGTTTTGGAAGTTGGCTGTGGCATTACCAAGGTAAGACTGGTGTGACAAGAATTGCATTCCCTTGATGGGGAAGAACAAATGCTCAGTAGCTGAGTATCTGCTTGGCATGCAGAAGGACCCTAGCTCATTCCTAGCATCTCCAGGTAGCTCTGGGAATCTCTCTTGCCCAAAGCCCCGGCTATCTGGTGTTAGTTGGTGTTGACAATACTAAGCTAGATGGATCACTGGTCTGGTTTGGGATAAGGCATATTCATGTGTTCCTATCATGGCCTCTTAGTATGAGTTTTGATTAGAAGTAAGGGAGGTTTGCTACCACCTTGCCACATTACGTATCAGGCAAGTGTAGGAGTGGTCATTATTATTTTCCTTAAGCCCAGCAGGAGTAAAGAACGTGGTAGAATGTTCTGTCTGTAAAGCTCTGAGTGTTGTTTAATGAGTGATTTAGAAATTCTATAGATGAAACAAAGGAAGCTAACAATGGGAGATCCAGCAGAGAACACTTGAGTACAGGCAAGCCCCCATTTACACAGGGGTTATGTTCCAAGGCAGCACACGTTTATATTTGAAACCCCATTGAAATAGCCTGCAAATGCCCTGCCCCCTTTTTGTGACTTTTGGGTCATTTCCAAGATGGGCACAGTTGCACATACATTGAATGCACGTTAATATGAGGGGAGGTTTTGCCTGTGATTCTTGCATGTGTCCTGATAAATTTGTGTGTTAATAAATAGCTTCGCTAAACTATACCACGATTCATGATTTTGTAATCGAGGTACTTACTTCCTTTAAAGCAGAGGTTCCCAAACTGTGCGTGAGCTGCAGCATGTCTGTGAAAAATTCAAATTGTAATACAGTAAAATATAATATAATAAAAGAAGCAAGAAAAATGCAATTGAGACTCATCCAGCATAGTGCATTGCAATCGCTACAACAGGCAGAAAAATAATTAAGCAGCCCAGCAGTTTTCAAGTAGTCCATGGTGCTGGGGTGGGTAGGTAGACATGACTACCTTAAAGAGACTCAATAGCTACTTTTCCCCAACAGTTAGGTCATTCCTGCTTCCCAAAACTACCTCTAGGGTAAAAAAGGTGAAGGATGAGTCTGTTGTGCCTGGCTGGCATGCATTTAAAAACAGAATAGAATCGCATCATGAAAGCTTGGGAATCAATCTATTGATTTTGTTGCTTTTTGTGTAGGTGCAGTACTTGGACTATGGCTATATTGAGAAGATTCCTCAATGTCATCTCTATCCAACTGTTTTGTATGCAGACATACCACCACTTTCCATACCATGTCAGCTCTATAAAACTATACCTGTGAGTGGAGGCTGCATTTTGAAATGTACTAAGCACCTGGTCTTGTGAACAGGGAGCAAAGAAGCAATTACATATGCTATGCTTGTGCCTTCATAAGTTCCAGAACGCTTCTGGATTTTCTGCAAATGGAAAAACTGCTCAAGAGAAAACTCTTAAAAGATTGCGCTAAAAGGGTGGCAGACTATTCCGCAAAGCAATGTATTAAAGTCGACGTATCACTTTCCTGGCTTAGTCTAAGCCATGGCATATCATGCTGTAGCATGGATGTAATAGTCGCTGGACAATGTCCCAGGCCGTAGCAACGTAAAGGGAAGTTTAGGGAAGTTTTTAATGTTTAATGCTGTAATGTGTTTTTAATATTCAGAGTGGGAAAGCCAGCCAGATGGGCAGAGTATAAATAATAAATTATTACTATATCATCATTATTACTACTACTACTACAACTAAAGTTGGGCTTCATGTAAGGACTGAAGTGCCATTCACTAGCCTAAGGAGAATAGATAAACAGGAGAAACTATGAACATAACTGAACTTTGAAGAAGGCAGGAAACCAACAAGAGCATAATGGGAGCCCAACCCATTTCCATAGTGTTTGTTCCTGCCTTGCTCAGAAGGTGGAGCAATAACCCAACATACCATTCCTGTTAGCAGAAAGGAAATTGAAGTCTTGTCTGCCATATACAGTACTTCCTATAACATGGAAGGTGCTTTCCACAAGACATTTTGGCATGTGAAGCAGAAACTAACGTTCGGTTAAAACAAACTTAATTTTTTCCCTTATAATGCTGAAACCATTCTAATCTTCAAGATAGGGCCAGTCCTGAGTGCTTTTACATAATTAGTGATGTGCTGGTGATTTTTCTACATTGGTTATCCAGGTTGGAACTGTTTGGCAGCAGGATGCAGTTGAACTCCTTCAAGAACTACTTACAAAAAGGCTCGTTGAAATAAATATTATGGTAAGCATAAAAACAAATTGTGTAAGTCCTGCTTCTCTTGCAGTCAGTCCCCTACCCCCAACAACAAAAATTGTTTTTGCCAGTGGATTTTGTCGGATCATTCCCTTAGACTTCCAAGAGCAAGCTGCACGTATTTTGTATTTATTTCACTTTCAAAACCAGTTATGATGTGGCAAGTGCATTCCTGTTTGTTCTTCCTTGTTCTGTTCATTTCTAAAATAAGAGATGGGGAGGACTTTACCATAATATGAAAAGAGGCATGTAGGGGAGGAGAAGTCAGCCTTCACACTTCATGATTCAGGTATTCTTAATTTACTTCTGGTAATAGAACAGAGTCTTTGGAAGTAAAGTAAGATCCTGTGGTAACAGATGGTGAAGGGAGAGGGTTCCATTCCCTTTTCTTTGTTCCTTTTTACAGTAAGCCCACATCTTACACTTTACTTACATGTGGAGAGTGGAGGAAACCAATTCCCTGTTTATTTATTACCCCTCCCCCACACCTGCACAAAGCTGTGGTCCACAGGCTTACCTGGATTTGGGAAGGGCTCTGGCAGGGTCTCAGCTCCTGTCAACCTAGCAATTCAAAAGCACACCAGTGCAAGTAGATAAATTGGTACCACTGCGGTGGGAAGGTAAACTGTGTTTCCTTGCGCTCTGGCTTCCAAGACGGTGTTCCGTTGCGCCAGAAGCGGTTTAGTCATGCTGGCCACATGACCCAGAAAGCTGTCTGGAAAAACGCCAGCTCCCTCGGCCTGAAAGCAAGATGAGTGCTGCACCCCATAGTCGCCTTTGACTGGACTTAACCGTCCAGGGATCCTTTACCTTTTACCCAGAGCCCTCCCTCCCAAAGCTGAACAAGCACTTAGTAGGCTTTGGGATGGAGGTGCAGGGACTCTAGGACCCTGCTGCAGCTCTTGCACCGCCTTTCCAAAGCTGAACAAGAAGCATTGGGGGTGGGTCCAAAGATTCCTGGCTTACCTTGGAACTGAACCCTTGCATAAGATGCAAGCTTACTGTATTGAAATGTGAATATTAATAGTCTTTGAATCAAACTGCTGGGTTACTAATTACGAAATTAGGGATGGTGTAAGACACAGAGCTACAGAACAAGCCATGTTATTATCAAGAGTGATATCAGGCAAATAACAGAACCATAAAATGTTAGAAACAAATATGAAAAACATTAGGAGGAAATACTCAGAAATAAGATATATGCCATTTAGTTAGCAATGGAATTGTACTGTGCCAGTTTTCTATTCTTCCACTCAAGCACTGATACATAGAATCACGAACCACAAACCTGTGATGGTTGTTCTTGGTGTATCTGTTCTTCAGGGTTCTGTGAGTAGCTTTGTTCTGTTCAGCCATAGGCCCACTTTTTGAGGTTAAAACAGTAGCAGAAATGATAATGCAGTAATCTTTTGCCTGGCTTTAACAGGAACACTCAGACAACCCATGGGATAAAATATCTGTTAAACTCTGTTTCTCTGGAATGTCGCTCTCATCTTTCATGGCGTACCATAAACATTGCATTAGTGAAGATGATGATGGTCACATGCCAAAACTGGTAATCTTTTCCTTCAGCTCTTAAGATTCATATAAAGCTTAACATGGGTATGTTATTTAGTGTGGCTATTTTTCCTGCAGTTCTTCCATGTCATATCCAGTATTTTCAGTTGGTAGTTAATACTGTTGCAATGGCTGGCAAATCCAACAGTGTAATTCCTTATTATAGCCAAAAGCAATTTGCTACCAAATGCAAGATGTATGTAAAAAGGTAATAAGCTCAAAATTAAGGGTAGTACCTCCGGTGGGGGACACGTGCTCCTGGGGGTAGTTTGTCCACATTTGGTTCCCACCCTGCAGTTATAATAAGGTATTAATGGTTTCGTTTAAGGGCTTGTATTGTAGCTGCACAAGTGCATTATGCACCAGATTAGCCCTGATTTTTTGGCATGAATTATTTTTTCCCAGAGTGCTAGATTGCAATCCAAGGGAAACAACTTCTTCCCTTTTCATATGTTCTAGGATATAACCTATTGCAGTGAAGATCATTTGGAGCAAAACTGTGAAATCAGTCATGAGGTAAATGTTCTGCAGGCATTAGCTTGCAAGTCAGTTAATATACTTTTAGAAATTAAAACAACTTCTTCCCTTTTCATATGTTCTAGGATATAACCTATTGCAGTGAAGATCATTTGGAGCAAAACTGTGAAATCAGTCATGAGGTAAATGTTCTGCAGGCATTAGCTTGCAAGTCAGTTAATATACTTTTAGAAATTAAAACAACTTCTTCCCTTTTCATATGTTCTAGGATATAACCTATTGCAGTGAAGATCATTTGGAGCAAAACTGTGAAATCAGTCATGAGGTAAATGTTAAAATATGTCAATGGATTTCTTGGTTTTCAAGCTAATAATTAGCTTGATAAGGTGTTGAAGCCAGTTTAGGGTCTCCCAACTTTTGTGACTCCAGCCAGCTACTAACATCCATTATAGTTTGTTTTGAGTGGATCAAGTCTGTAAGGTTTTTGCGGTGGGGGAGACATTGGATCAGTTCTAATGCCTTTCCTGAAAGTAGGTTTTGGGATAAGGGTGTACATTAAGTGTGCAGTGGTTGGTGATTAGCCCAAATCGGACATCTTCAATGAAATGCATCATACTGCATTTTCCCAGCATTTTAAAACGGCACAGACAAACTCTATTGCTTGCTCCCCCAATAGCACACCAATCTGAATAGTGAGTCTTGCACAGAATAGTCTCCATGACATCACTGGCACCAACTTTATTCATGTGCACCCAAGTTGCATTCCTTGTCATTCTCTGTGCACAGCTCATATTGCTGCTGCTTGCATCTCTAGGCACATAAAGATTTCCTGCTTCCTCCTTTTTTCTAGGAGTTACTGATGTCTGAAGTAGATACTCCCCTACTGCCACCCTATACCTCGCCATCGCTGCCTGTTCTTGGAGAACTTTTTCCAATTAAAGTAACACATGTTGTGTCACCTAATGAGGTATCTTGGTGAAGTAAATATTTTTGCTGTTATCGGGTCTGTTGTAATTGCATCCTTTCACAGCAGCTCATCCTGTGTTTTAGAACTTGAACTTGTGAGAATTAGGATCCTTCATAAATAGTTACATCCATTGTTTGAGATGTATAACGATAGCTTTCGAAGCATGAGGTAAGACTGCCTAAGAAGCTGTCTATGGTTTATGGGCAATTGCTAGTATTTCTAGTTTTGATTCCATTCAGATAGACAAAACTTGGGAGACTGGTCCATCCTGTATGTTGGACGATGCTCTCACTTCAAGATCTTTGATATATATTTTTGATATATGACACCAATTACTGTGCCCTAGGTGTACATTACCATTGATCAGCGAGACAGTCCCAACCATGAAGATGATACAGAAGTCAGTGGGGACGTTGAAACTCTAGACCAAGCCTTGAGACGGTGTAATCAGAACTTGGAGTCCATCCCTTTCCTAACTGATTTTCGGAAAGGTATACAGTCATACCTCGGGTTACAGATGCTTCAGGTTGTGTTTTTTCGGGTTACAGATCACCGAAACCCGGAAGTACCGGAACGAGTTACTTCCCGGTTTCGGCGGTCGCGCATGTACAGAAGTGCCAAATCACAACCCACGCATGCGCAGACGCGCTGCTGCGGGTTGCAGACATGCATCCCGCATGGATCACGTTCACAACCCAAGCGTCCACTGTATTATTTCTTGGTAATTTGCATTTATACATTCTGCAATTGAAGGTGAAAAGTTACTTAACTACTTTAGAACAAAACTTCCCTACAGTCTGCTTGCATTCAGAATCAAATAAGAGAAAACAGACTTATTTATTAAATTTGTATACCGCCCTGTATCCATAGATCTCAGGGTGGTTCGCAGCATATAAACCCCTGAAAGCTGTTCATTTATGCTTGTTGCTATAAAAATTATACAATGAATTTTCTGAGTTTCTGCTGAACTTCAGATAGTGTAGTGATGCTAGTACCATGAGGTTGCAATAATTTAGCTGAAGCATCACTAATCTTGAAAGTATCTCATGATAAATACTGGGCTCCATTAAACTATAGGAAGTATTTATTAAAATATAGTAGGGTGTTTTGATGTGTGGTATTCTGTTCTCCTTCGGGTGTTGGAAGTCTCTCAAGTGGGTTTAGCTGTCACTCCACTTCTTGCAGGACATCAAAAAAACCAGATCGTGATAACTGGGAAAGGGGGTGACAGCCATGGAGTGTTTCTGGCACACAGTAGCCATCTGCAAAACTTTTATCTACAGTTTATCACATCTCATAATAGTAGAGCTAGGGAGCCATCCAATGAAGCTGAATGTTGGGAGATCAGTAGGACGTAGAATGCAAGCCTAAATCTATTCCTTTGGATAGTTTAATTTAATGCCTTCCCAGTTTTGCTTAGCTAAAGGTGATCCGCAATGCAATATAAATGGTTATAGGAGAGGGTACCCTTTTTTCAGCTGGAGGACTTCACTCACCCATGATCAACCCTTTGCATATCAAAGTGGGCATGGTCAAAAACCCTTTTTAAAAAAAGAATTGGTACACATTTGGGGGCACAGAACCTTTTGGTATCACAGTAGAGAACTTATGAGAGCAGTCAATTTTAAAAACCTCTGCAAATTAACTTTATTTTAAAAAAGCAATGGGGGTGCATAAAACTTGGGAGCCAGATCCAGATTAACCACCCATGTTGCAGCATTGGGTGCTGAAATTTAAACCGCTTTTCTCCCTTCGTTAGACATGCCTTGCCTTGCAAAGTACAGTGATGGCTTCTGGTATCGGGCAAAGCTCATCTCAATTCATGAATGCAATCCTCTTTTGATTATGGTGGAATTTGTTGACTATGGATCCAGCGAAACAGTACCCACAAGCAGGTAAATCTATACATTGCTCATGTATTAGTGCAAATTGCTATTCAAGACAAGTGAAACTATGATCGGACATTGGTCTCTACTGAATATACATATTAACATCCTTTTACCACCACTTTGCAGCAGCTAACAAATTGCTTGTGGCCTGTCATCTTGAATAGTGTTACTCACCGACTTTAATTTTGCCTCAGGTTACGTCAGCTTCCTCCTGAGTTCATGCAGTATCCTGCTCAAGCGTTCAAAGTTCTGCTGGCTGGATTTAAACCAGCTTTGTGTGAGTCACACACAAAAATTCCGTATTCTTCCGAATGGAGCATGGAAGCATTGTGGACCATGATAGACTGCTTCCAGGGGAAAAATCTCTATGCTTCTTCACTGGTAAAGTCTTCCCTTATTTTATCCCAGCCAACTCTTCCCATCCACAGACTTAACTGTAACTTCCCTTTCCCACTTTCAGTATTCAGGTGGAATTTTAAAAGGTTCCTGTTCACCTGGACATCTGATGGCTGAAATGTTTTGTTCCTGGCAACCTTGAAATTACTTAGCTATCAGGATATTTGATCTTTTAAAATGTTTTTAAAAGAAAACAGTATTATTTTGCAGTTTCATTGTTTATCACCCTGGGATCCTTTGGGTGGGATAGGACTGCAATAAATAAATACAAGTAACTTGCAACTTACACATATTTAACTTGTACACATTCAGCTTTACGTTCTTGATTTTAAAAAAAATAAAAGGGGGAGGGTGTCTGGGGGAAAAGAACAGCACTCCCACCCTCCAGTGAACCCATTGTATTTCGAACTATACAAAAGATTTTGGCTTTACACACTATCCCTGGAATGCAACCCCCATGTAAGTTGAGGGTCTCCTGTACACAAATTAAGTTCCAAGGCCAATTTGAACCAACACTTCAATTCTTGCTATCTCATTCATATGATTTCCTCTGAATGATTTTTAGAGGACTTTTTCATTCATAAGGCTTATTATTCTACGACCTGCTGTCCATACCACTGGATGTATCTCAGCTGCGCTTTCCTGTCCCCTTCTCAATCACTAGCCCCCCCAATCCTCCACTACCTTTTCCCATTCTGGACAGGTATTTGTTATCTATGTACCTTTAAAAAAAAAAAACTGCAGGCACTGCACTAAGCATAAAAGTTGACAACTTTATCCAGCCAGCCAGTCATGTTTCACATTGGACAAAATGAAGATTTGTGCTGGGGGGGGGGGGCCGTTATACCAATTTCTACTGGTTATTTTTTAAATTAAATACTATAGTCTGTGCAAGAGTGATAAATGTTGCCTGTAAAACAACATTTCCATATTTGGGGCTTTTTGTGAGGCGGGGGGTGTCAGTATTCTCTCAGAACACTCTTTAGTGAAAGCCTACAATTCTGTCTTGGAATAGTTTCATCAAACTCACTCCAGCTGTGTGCCACCCCTCTATAATGGAGTTTTGCTTAGAAAGCAGACAAGATTTGGATAGCCAAGAACAGAAGTTTAGAACTCTCATCATTGTATAGTTTTGGAAACTCTAATACGTACTGATTCTCAAATGTTGCCTGTTGACATTGGCCGTATATCTTACTTGCAGACGCATTCACCAGAGCATACCGTGTTTGTATATGAAGATGGGCACCTAGTTCACATGAAACTAGTAGAAATGGGATTTGCTGAATTAATTTAGTGACTGGTAAGCACACTCAGTTTTATCTATTAAAAGCTTTTTTGTCCTACTCTTCGACTTTAAAGGGTCACAAGGGAGCTTGCAGATCAGTAGAAACACAAAGACTGCCCTTGTCCTCAAGGTTACAGTCTAAAAGATGCTAGGAAAAAGGAAAAAGTAATGAGGGAAGGGAAAGGCTGGCACTTTTAGTAACGTTGCAGTTCTTACGGTCACTGGCTGGGATGGAAATAATCCATGTAACTTGGTGGAATGGCCTACTATTGGTTGTCAAATGCGAAGAACCAGAGATTAATAAAACAACTGCTAGAGAAGTATCTGAATTTCTACCCTTCACCAGGAGGTCTCAGGGTAGGCATGTAAAGGCACCACTGAGTTAAAACATTGAAAACTCTGCCACTCACAATCCCCAAACAGGAATTGCATAGACATATTTGTATTTTATGAGTTTTAAGATGGTTCATTTTGTAGTCTCAATAAGAAAATAAAGGCTTTAAAAAATGAAAAAGATTGTATCGAGAGGGCATTTTTAAAAACATAGCAAGAGTCCTACTGGATCAGGACGCTCTCGTCCAGCACTCGGTTCTCACTGTGGACAGCCAGATTCTGAATGTAAGTGTGCTCTCCCCCCACCTGCAAATACCAGCAACTGGCATTTAGGGAAATACGTTCTGAAATAATTTGGGAAATTGTTGCAGATTCTGCTTAGAAGCAGTAGGCAAACTGTAATGAAAAATGGACAACTTCAACAGGTGTCCAGATTTTAAAATTATATACCTGCATTAGTAACTCAACCAATAGAATTTTTGCATGCCAATTTGTCATAGAACAAAGAGTAAGTATAACTAGCATTTTAATAAACAGATGTTGCCAACGTTTTTGGAGCGAAAGACACATTTTGAATTTTGAGAGTGCTCAAGGTGCCAGCCACACAGTGGCTACTATGGGGTGTATGGCTTAACAAAATGAGAGTTTGGCCATGGTGAAGTTTTTCCTATAATTGTATTTCTGTACAAGGGTTAATGTGTTAAATTTCTGCTTAGAAAATAAAAGGAGGAAAAGTGCATTAAAGGGGCTGAGAAAACAAGCTCTTTAGGAACTCAAGCAATTCATCAGTCACAGCTCTGACTTAACTTGCTGGTGAAAAACAGAGACGAGCAGCAAGACTTGCTCATTTCATGGAAATTGCTTAGACAGGTGCTTGCAGATTTTGCTTCATATTTTGCTTAAGAGGGATAGACACTCATCTTAAAATAAAAGCTTGGAGTCTGGGCCCCTGCTAGGAATAGGAGGGAAGAGATTTGAAAGTCTAAAAATGCAGCCAGGGAAAGGTTACCTCGAAAGAAATGTGACCCTCAGCCTCATCTCCTGTCAGAATTAGTGCAGCAAAGCATGCAGCAAGTGGTGATGCCAGTTGCCCACCTTGGCTTTTTGCTATGGGAGAGCATGTAACATTTTAATACTACAACATCAAGGCAAGACTTGCAGGCTTTGAAATTTTGTTTGTTTTTCAGATGCAGATCATTAGATGAAAACAATACCAGAATAAAGAGATTTCATTTGGATTTGTTACTGTTTGTTCCCTGATAAGTGGTTACCTTTTTTTTTGTTGCAAGTTGAAGTACTTGCTTTGTGCAAGTACTAAAGGATGTTCATTAAAAAAATTTCTTGAAACAGAAAACATCTTGCTTGTGTTGGTTTATTAGGTTAAATAAGTGTAAGATGTGGGCTTACTGTAAAAAGGAACAAAGTGTGTATGATTGCTTCAAAATGGTTATAACCTGCTTTGGCAACAAGTTGTTATCCGAAAATAAGAAACAAAGTTTAAGTGTCATATTTGAAATGTATTGCTATTTACATATTAGGACTTGTGTGAGTAGGAATAGCCTTAATCTTTAAAAACAAGTTTATTGTCAAAACATTTTTACTATGTACAACCTTTACAAACATTTTCTGAGAAGAGAAAACATGGATAAATATTAAGACCTGAACAAAATATGAACTTTTAGAGGATGGTGTCCACAATAATCTCACCATCCTTATCTTTAACTCTAACTCGACCCGAAGCATACTGCGTTTCTTGGCGTCCATCGGCATACATTGTCTTAACGGTACCGTCTGGATACTCCCGTCTCTTGAAATGGGCTGTATGCACTTCCTGCTGGCCATTACTGAACTCGATAACCTTACTTCCATCCCTTAAAATAGAAAGGCAACCTTTAAAACCAATGTAATGTTATAGCTAAATTCTGCTGGGAGGTACAATTAAGAATGCAGCTAATTGTTCTAACTGCCATACCTACTACAGCCTGCCTACTTAAAACGTAACTTTAAGAAGCATCTCTGCCTCATATCATTTGGGTTCTTCTCAATGTGTACTTTCCGCACAACAAATCTTAGCCTACACAGGAAGTATTCTTAAATTGCTGAGATTATCATCTTGACATCTGCCCAGCAGCTTCATGTTCTCTGGCACCCACCTTGTATTCCTGAAGCTGGCCAGACTGGATAAGGGTACCATAAAGACTGTCATAGCACAGTTAACACTGAGGATTTTGTTCTTGACAGCCTTTCTCTTCCTCCACAGTCTTGTTTCCTCAAAAGGCATTCTTAATGTGTGTCACTACTTTTTCTGTATGGTCTAAACCACAGAGCCTAGGGCTTGCCGATCAGGTCAGTGGTTTGAATCCCCACGACAGGGTGAGCTCCCGTTGCTCGGTCCCAGCTCCTGCCAACCTAGCAGTTCAAAAGCACATCAAGTGCAAGTAGATAAATAGGTACCGCTCCGGCGGGAAGGTAACCGCCATTTCTGTGTGCTGCCCTGGTTCTCCAGAAGCTGCTTAGTCCTGCTGGCCACATGACCTAGAAGCTGTGGACAAACGCTGGCTCCCTCAGCCTATAGAGCGAGATGAGCGCTGCAACCCCAGAGTCGTCTGCGACTGGACCTAATGGTCAGGGGTACCTTTACTTTTTCTATATGGCTGCAGTAAATGCAGTCCAAACTTAACACTTAAAATAGTTTTATGAAAATAAATCTTACTGCTGTGTGCGGACAATGGTGCCATCAGGGAAAATGGTCATTTCTCGCCCATCCGTGTACACATTCTTAATGGTTTGATCAGGGAATACAATCTCTTTCCTTCCATCTGGAAAATGCTTTTCTGCAAGGAATGAATGAGCATACCTCATGTCAGAATACTCATACGCCTTGTAAGTAGTTCTTGCAATTTAATGGTGTGCCATCAATACACACAAATACACAGCAATTTATACAGCAGTACAATAATAAAATAATATTTATTATTTATACCCCACCCATCTGGCTGAGTTTCCCCAGCCACTCTGGGCAGTTCCCAATCAAGTGTTAAAAACAATACAGCATTAAATATTAAAAACTTCCCTAAACGGCTACAAGCAAGACAGCCAGGTCTCTGTTTACCTATTTGTCCATTTGAGAAATGTAGGACCTCTAAGCCTGTGGGGTAGGTGGTGTGCGTAGTCTTGGCATCTGCATAATAGTATATCTGTTGAGAAGAGTTAACAAATTTAGCATTAATAGAACCTTCTGTCGATATCTGAATGGCACATACTTCTTACTGGATACATACCACTCTCCGATCATCCAGAACTTGCTTTACATCCCCATTAAAGAAGGTTACAGTTGTAGTCTTCCCATCACAGCTCACTTCTTTCCGTGTGCCATTGGGGAAAATAATCAGGTGGGATCCATTTTTTAAAATCTTTTCAACCTGAAAGAAGTGAAATAAAAGCATATATCGTAACAATTCTGACTGTGAACTTCTACAGGCTAAGCCGAGCAGAGAATAAGAAAGGGGAAGAGGCCAAAAACAAACCCAAACAGAGCTTATTTGATAATAAGGGATAGTATCCCTCCCAGTTCTAAATATGGTGCCCTTAGAGATTCAAGAGTATGGAGCATGCTTCACAAATCCAGAGGGCCAGAAATTGATGTAGGGTTTTTCTTATGTAAGCCCGCAATTAAATAAATGAGTGGGCCACATCACTCAAAAGAACAATCCCACCCCCTTTTTGTAGGCAGATCACTCTCAGGTTAGGCCTTCACATAAGCACAAGCGTTTCTCTGTGCACTGAGAAAGATCATACAAGCCTGAAGTTCATTCCCGCATTTGCTGTGGGGTATAACCATTAACTGTAGCTGAGCATGAACTGACCTTGAGTATTAGGCAAATACATGGGAAACAGCTGCAAGACTGTATAAAAGTAGGCAATTTGGTTTCCTCTGCATAATAGGGCCTGGACCTAAATTCAGCATGAAAGCTTAGTTGAGAGGAACATGGATAATCTCTTGTTATAGATAGCAAAACTGTATTGAGAAGACTGTCTTTATTTACAAGGGCCTTAACAGGACCGCCTAATCCCTGCCCAATCACTGCGGTCTTTGGCAGAGTCAGTTTTAGTAGGTCTACTGTGGCAAAGATGGAAGCCATGCATTTAGTATTGCAGGCCCAATTTGGTGAAGCTCCCTGAACTTCCAGACTTTTATTCCAGGAGACTTTATGTCTGGTTTTATAGTTTTAACTAATTTTCACCTTTTCTGATTTATTTCTTGTACAGTGCTTAGATATGATAGTAGTTAAGTGGTATATAAATATGAAAAATACATAAATAGTTACCACCTCCTATTTTTCCCTGCGTTCTTTGGGCTCTAGGCAGAATGGCATAAACATCTAGTTCAGATCCAAAAAGGCTCCCAAGCATAGCAGCAGCACTGCACTTTCATAGGTGGTGCAGGTATGGAACTGGTCATCCTTTCTGAGGCAAGAAAGAGCAAGCATTTCCTTTACATAGCAATGTTCTCCCAATACTACTTTCTGGAATCGCTTCAGAGCAGGGATGGGAAACCTGCTGCCCTCCTGATTTTGATGACAATTCCCATTGAACTTGACCATGTTGGCTGGCCCCAAAGGAAGGCCAGCAGCATCTGGAGAGCCACAGGTTCCCCCACCCATGCGCTAGAAAAAACAACAACTTACTACCTTTCCATCAGGATGATTGGCTTCACTCTCTATTTCGTCTTCACTGTCTGATGAATCGGGACTTAGCGATGGTGACGATTCAACAGTTCCATTACCGGGTAAATTCTGAAATGGGGAGGTGGGGAAAACTATAAATTTGTCTTGAGAGGCAAATCATATTACTGTGGGCACTGGATGGTGACAAACTGGGAACTTCTCCACGAGACAAGCTTCATTCATGTAAAGTGAAATACTCTACCGAAGTGGTCTTCAGACTACCATTACAGGACCCTTTCCACAATGACATGTCTGCCATGGTTTAAATGTGCAAACCTAAATTTCCTGGACTGCTCATCCCACAAAATACTACACCTGAAGGCATGCTCTATTCCTGTTCTGCAGAGAAAAGATGCCAATAGCAAAACGGGACTAAAATCTATTATACAACTACAGTATCCTACATTCTTTAAATTAGAATGTAACACTGTTTTCCCTAGAATTTAATATCTATAACCTTACATACCTTTATACTGAATATAAATTTAATCCATAAAAATTGGGTTATTTCTCAACCAAAGGAGCAGCACGAACAGTCAAGAAGAGCAAGAGGAGATTTAACATAGCAACCTCCCTAGCATTTTCTTACTTCCTTGATGCTGCAATCTTCCTTGGGTCAGTTTTGGTTATCTATTGCACAGCTTAAACATTTCTATCCAAGGCCCTAGGCTGCCTTATGAAACCAGGAGCCAACATTCTCGTACTTTACTTACAGCCATAAATGCTTTGGAGGAATCTTCAAAAGTCACTGCCACATTGTTCAAGCAACTCTCTTCAGGTGCAGCTGCTAGTTTAAATTTTGCGCAGGGTCTTCCTATTTCAAACAAGAATAAAAATATGATTCTAATATTTTATATTTCCTAGGACATGGGGAGAAGGTAGGTACATCCCTCTCTAATTTTCTGCTACCTCATATTTTATTTAATTTAAGGCCCACACTAAATATTATCAGTGGCATTACTGCTTCTTGGGTAAATTACTGTAAAACATATCAGTAGTGGGGGGGGAGGGGGTTGGAGGTAGCTGAAGTGTCAGAATGACAAGGTATGTAACATGCAGACTTGCATATAAAATGTCATATTGCTGCTTACTAGAAATGGTACTGTATCCTAAGTATAGTTACCTTCTGATGACAGATCACTTTTGCCATTCATCTTGCTGCTCTTTTCTGCTTGAGGAATTGAAGGCAGAGTCTGGTTTTTTTGCAATATAGCTGGAGAATGCTGGGGGGGGGATGTAAAGCAGGGGCCTATTGAGAATTTTTTTTTGTTAAAATGCTACAATGATAATATTCAGGAACACAAACCTTTCCCCCGAAAAGTAAAAGGTGATTATTTTACCATATTTATATGCCACTTTTCAAAATTAAGCTCACAAAGCTATTTGCAACATAAAACTAAAGTCAATATGGTAGGAAGCTGTTTACAACATGTATGCACTTTTGCTTAATCATACTTGAAACTGTGTGCCTGAAAGCTGTTCAGTAATATATAATATAGAGTGAAGGCCAACAGTGGCCACCTACCCAAGTGGACTTCTCACTCTTTTCCCCACAACCTGCCAGCATGTGCCCTGAACAGTTGAGGAATCCTCCAGAGCAGATTTGGATTGGGGGAGCACTAGTGAGGAGGAAAGGTGTGCTCACATGACTCCGGATACTCACTCAAACACTTTTGCCACTTTTGACAAGGCAGCTTGTCAAATTAAAAAAAGTTGAAAAGTTCTGTCCCAACAGTCCCACATTAATGATTCTACCTTAACAGCTGCACACACAAAACTCTCCTACCAAAAGAGACAGACTAATGCAGGCATAGGCAAACTCCAGCCCTCCAGATGTTTGGGACTACAATTCTCATCATCCCTGACCACTGGTCCTGTTAGCTAGGGATGATGGGAACTGTAGTCCCAAACATCTGGAGGGCCGGAGTTTGCCTATGCCTGGACCAATGGCTCAAAAGCATCAGCCTGAGACTCAATAATGACAAGTACACAAATGTAAATCAAATTTGTGCAACCTAAGGTGCCTGGGCAGTTTGTGTTTCCTTAATTCATCCTTTTCAGGCAAGTTTCAGGTGTGTTTTTCCTCCACGCAACTCTTATTGTCACAGCAACCCTGGGAAATAGGTTAGGCAGAGAAAGTGGGAGCTTCATGAATGGGGATTTGAACCCGGGTCTCCCAGTCTGAGTGTGTCACATTAACTACTCTACCACTTTTACGCCTGAAAAGAGATAGAAGGGGGAAAGAAACCTTACTGCTGACTCTGCTTTCTTATCACAGCCAGTTTTCTTCTTGTTTATAGACGCTTCTTTTCTCTTCCAAGCATCCAAACGAAATCGTTCCATAATTTTGATCTCTTCCCGTAGTTGCACATTCTCCCTAGTTAAGGCCTCTATCTGGTCTCTAAGACGAATGTGGGTTGTTGACCATTTTGTCTCTCTCCTTTTTAAATCTTCCTGCAAGGTTGCCATTTGCTGCTTCAAAGCCTTGAGAAAACAACATGCAAGCAGGTCATTTTCTGCTATGTTAAAATACACAAACTGAAGAAAAAGACAAATCACTTTACACTGCAGTAATAAATGCAATACCTGTAATAAAATTACTCAGTGGACATTCTCCACCTTAAATCAACAACCAGTAAATCTGATCCCAATCAAAGTAACCATATAGGCTTTCCCTTGCATTCATACCTGAATTTCATCCCGTTCCTTTTTATCTGGAATAGCTCTAGCTGCCTGTGCATACTTCTCAAAAACTTTACGTTCTTTTTGCAGCTTTCTTGTTTCTTCTTTTTTAAATTCTTCTATTCGAGCAAGCTCTTTGGTTTTCTGTTGTTCAAAGTCAGCAACTTCTTTCCTGAAAATTGACAGTAATAATTTCAGAACAGCAAAAAATGCTGCTCCTTGCAAAATTGTATGTTTTATTGATAACATTGTATCTTAGGAATGTTAGCTCCCCAGGACACCCCATATAGTATATTTTTAAAAATCTCTCCTAGAACACAACCACCAGACACTGTTGCTGTAACAGACCTCACGCTTTCTTAGGTCATCCTTCTTGGCTCTCTACATAAATCCCAGTAAACCAACAGGCCATATCTTCAGAAACTCCACAATATTTCTTGATTAGCAAAATAGATAATTTCCAACTGCTCAGTAAAATAGCTGCATAGTTTATTGTTTGCAAACTACTAAATTAATTAGCCCTGTATGATGCATTGTCTCTGTCATCTATTACTGCAGCTGAATTAGTCAATTGCATTGTTATCAACTGTTATCTAGATGTCAGTGCTTTGAGATTTAATATTAAGGGAAGGTACTTCTAGGTACTATTCTGCCCCTGTTCTATGGGTCCCACTGGCTTGCACATTGTCCTGCATGCCATTTTAAGCACATGCTGTACAGCTGGGCTACTATGTCTTCTGCATAGGGCCTCATTATTAAGAAAGTCCAGAAACCTGTAACTGGTACAAAACATGGCAGCTCAGTGGTTCATCAGAGTATGTGACTCTCTTATTGAAACAACTGCCCTGGCTTCCAACTTGTATCGTGCCCCAATTGCTAGTGGCGAATTTAAAGCCCTTCATGGTTTGGGACCAGGATAACTGAAGGGCAACCTAGTCCTGTATGAACCCACTCGTCTGTTAATATCTTAAGCTCTCTTGTGCATTCCCCTGAACTATACTTAGTTGGCACCCAAAAGAGGGCCCTAGAAGAACCAGGTATACTATTCATAACCATTTCAGTGGCCTCCACCCAGGTTGTGAAAGACCCTCGCAAACTCTTCCCATCATTTCATCAAAACCTTCCTTCCTGCTTATTAGAGGGGGTTTTTTTGGGGGGGGGTCATTTTAAGCTTCTGTACCAGACTGTATTAGCTGCACTGAAATGTTTTTATCACTTGAGAATATGCACTTGTTTTCAATAGCTGCCTTTTATCTTTTTGTTTCTTGCTGCTTCTAGTAATGTGGGTTTCATTTATTGTTTATACATTGTTAGCCGCCTTGAGCTTTTTAACAGGAAAGGATGGATTTATTTTAAATGAATGGGTTGTCATAGATGGCAGGTGCGTCCTAAGTGGCAAGCCTGCTCTAGGTTAAATCAACTTCACACCAACAGGATAGAAATCAGACAGGCTCTTTAAGTTACCTGAACTTCTCCAAAGCCTTCTCACGCTCTTCTCGAAGTTTTGTGAGGGACGCATTTTCTTCCCTAAACCGTTCGATTTCAACTTCCAATTCAACAAGTTTCTCTCTCAAGAGCTGGGAACGAGCCGTGTCTCCTGACAAAGAACAGGTGCACAATGTTTGATGCACAAATGTCAATGTATGCACCATACTGTTGTGTGGTAACGTTTTACCAGTTTCCCACCCTCTCTGATCTTTGCCATCTTTATAGGAGTTTTAAAGCCAACTCTGCTGACTTCCAGGTCAGCTTTTACGCATACATATCCAGACTGAAACTATGAGTGAGTCACTGTAAGACTGGATGAAATAAATGGGCTTAAAACACATAAAATTGTAGCCATTACAATAGAAACCAGTCTGAAAAGCAAATTGGCTCCAATAAATTGCTTGGCAATTTGTTGAAGAATCTAAAACCCTGAGAATGCAAGCTGAAAAGCAGGACAGAGGGATATAGGCTTTGAAGATTACTACTGCTATTGAGAAGATTTATGGGACTGATTATTACGCTCAATACTCATTTATCCCTCTTGCTTACCTCCCGATTCTTCCTGAGACACATTGGGTTTGGCATCATGTCTTTGCTGTGCCTCTACCTTCTGTTTGGGCCTCAGAGAAGGAAAGAGCTTCAGCATCAGATCTGTTGTGGGGGGTGCAATTGCCTCACTGTCTGCCACACTTTGCCTGGGCAGAACATCCCCTTTCTTTGCTACGGCAATCTTCCTCTTTATCCTTTTATCTGGAAAAAATGCCTCATTCGTAGCTGAACAGTCAGGGGACAATGGTTCTTTAATAACCAAGTCATCATTTGGTACTTGGGTACACCGACTCCCATTCTCGTCGAAGTCCGTCCACGATGTTTCGTCATCAAAATCAACTTGATTTCCATTTGCACAACACACAGTTTGAAATTCAGAACCCTTGTTTATCTTGCTACACTGGATACTACCAACATTTTTTTCTAGTAAGCCAAGGGAGGCATCTCTATTTATGCCTTCTTTGTACTCTGAAAATTCAGGACTGTCACCTCTATGACTCAAATCAAACTTTTTAGCTCTCTCAGCAGGCTTTATGGTAGTCTCAAATTCCTCCTCAGACCCCAAAGTCACATCACTACTTTCACCAGATTTATCTTCGTCCCACTCAGTGTCACCAAAACCTTGAAACTCAGTGGGGAAAGCCTGAAGCATTTTACTGTCAATTTTATTTTGATGATCCTTCAGCATTTCAGATGCCTGGGATTCAGTGATCATCCCTCTGTCCTTCTCATTGTTTGCTGGTTGGGAAACACATGCGTCTCCATTTCTGTTCTCTACAGCTGTAGCGTCCTGCACATTTATCTGCTGTTGTTGCTGCCTTGATTTAATGGGAGTAGAAGACAGTCTGCGCCCTGTAGAAATCTGCTGGCCTTGATCCAAGATCCTTACAATAAGTGAGGAATTGCTGGCAAAGGAGATTTCATCAGCAGCCTGCTCTAGAAACAAAAATTCATCCAATTCAATTTCCTCTTTTTCCTTTTCAGTATCCCAGTTTTCCAATTTCTTCTGGAAAGAAAGTTCAAAAGAGAGGTCTAGGTCTTTTTCAGAGGAATTTGTAAGATGTTTGGTCACTTGGGCTGGTTGCGCATACTTTTCTTTGGGTAACTCACAGCCAATTTCATCCAGCTTTGCAAGTGCCATTATATTATCTTTATTCTTTTCTCTTTCACCATTTATTTCTGACCTGGCAAACTCTCTCAGTTGTCCAGATTTCCTTTCACTGGGATTTCGTCTTGTAGATGAAGGGATGGCTTTCCCAGCACAAGTTCTGAGCACTGCTGTTTTTCGAGCGGGAAGAGCTGGAGCTTTCTTCATTTTACCATTCTGATTACCATTTTTAGACACAAAATTGTCAGAATTTTGTTCTTTATTTGAAGTGGCCGTTTTCCGGTGAAGCTGTGGCTTGTCTGCTTTAACTGAATTTTTTACTTCTGCTGCATTAAGGTGAGGAGTTACTTTGCTTTCTTTCTGATTAGCTGCTTTGGATTTTGCACCAGCAAACCTTCTTAAACCTTCACCTCGTTTTAGAAAGGGTCGTTTTGCAACTGGTGTCTGGAATGTTGATCTTTCAGAATCCTAAAAAACAAAAAGACCTTTTCATTTTCTTATATTTCTATTTATGTGTTTTGCTTGCTCTATCAAAGTACTCATATAAAACTTTTTGGGAAGTCTGGAATTTCATGTGTTGCACCTACAAGAGTGAAACCAACATAATAATAATAATAATAATAATAATAATAATAATAATAATAATAATAATAATAATAATAATAATAATAATATATCCCGCCCTCCCCAGCCGAAGCCGGGCTATGTGGGAGTCATAAAGCCACGGTAAAGGCTTGTAATATTGCAGGGTGCCCCCTGACCTCGGCTGACCAGCACTCTGAGCTTTACAATGTATTGGAATGTATTGACCTTAAATGGAGTTGTGTTTCCTCTGGGCAGTGATGACCCTATATGGTGATGGGGGCAATAAAAGCCTTGACCGGATGAGGTAACGTGAGACATTGGCAAACGGCCATGCGGCTGGAGAGAGACAAAGGATAATAAAGAAGCTACAGGAGGAGAGGGAAGTTCGAAAGGAGCTGCTCATACCATCCTGAAAATATTGCTGGCTCTCTGTGTCTTTATTTTATGCTAAACTGCGCCATTTGTAACGGCTGGCTCCGACAGGGCTCAGGGCGGCTAACAACACTAAAATAGTGCAACATTATAAAAACATTATAAAAATTAATTAAAATCAAAATTGATGGCAACCATAAACTAAAGTTTATGGTGATCTCGCAGCGAAGACCCCGTAAGGAGTCTCGCTGCGGCATTCCGCACCCGCTGGAGTTTCTGGGTCAGTCTCAAGGGCAGCCCCACGTAGAGCGAGTTACAATAATCCAGTCTGGAGGTGACCGTCGCGTGGATCACAGTGGCTAGGTCAGGGCGAGAGAGGTAAGGAGCCAACTGCTTAGCTTGGCGGAGATGGAAAAATGCCGCCTTTGTTATAGCTGCAATCTGCGCCTCTATGGAGAGGGAGGTATCGAAGATTACACCCAAACTCTTAACGGACAGTGCTGGCCCTCATTGCACCCCGCAAGAGATGGGAGTTGCCCCTCAATCCCATATCGTCCCGTCCCAGCCAGAGGACCTCTGTCTTCGAAGGATTTAACTTCAACCGGCTCCCACGTAACCATCCAGCCACAGCTTCCAAGCATCTGATCAGTGTGTCTGGGGCCGAGTCAGGATGGCCATCCATCAACAGATAGAGTTGGGTGTCATCAGCATACTGATGGCAGCCCAGCCCAAAACTCCGGACAAGCTGGGCAAGGGGGTGCATAAAGATGTTTAAAAGCATCAGGGAGAGTGAAGCAGGAACTTATTCTCACAGTTGTTATACATTTTATATATCACTGCAAGAAGCATTTCTAATTACTAACCTTTTTATTTCCTTTTTGGCTCAGCCGTTGTTCTTCTAGTCGTATCTGTTCTTCTAGGAACTCTTCAAATGTCTGTTTTCTTTCTTGAATACTAGCAGCAACAGGTCTATTGCAAGAGACTCACATTTTATTGTCAGATCTTATAAAATACAGAATATTGGTTCATCACAAAGGAATGGATCCCTTCAAAGTGTTGGTGTTGACTTTTAAAGCCCTAAACAGCCTCGGCCCAATATACCTGAAGGAGCGTCTCCATCCCCATTGTTCTGCCCAGACACTGAGGTGCAGCGCCGAGGGCCTTCTGGTGGTTCCCTCACTGCGAGAAGCAAAGCTACAGGGAACCAGGCAGAGGGCCTTCTCAGTAGTGGTGCCCACCCTGTGGAACGCCCTCGCATCAGATGTCAAAGAGATAAACAACTACTTGACATTTAGAAGACATCTGAAGGCAGCCCTGTTCAGGGAAGTTTTTAATGTGTGACATTTTAATGTATTTTTAATCTTTGTTGGAAGCCGTCCAGAGTGGCTGAGGAAACCCAGCCAGATGGGCGGGGTACAAATAATAAATTATTACTATTACTATTATTATTATTATTATTATTAAAAGGAATCGTGTCCCTCTTTCTCAGAGTGACAACCTCCTTCCCCATAGACCCTCATTCCCCATAACAGAAGAGGACCCTGATAATAAGACACCTCAACTATGTCTCAAAGGCCTCTTTTATTTTCTCCAGGTTAGCTACCTTGGTCTCAAGGGGATAGAAATCTTGTGCAGTGTGCTCCTGACTCTCGGAGAACATGCATACACCCACAGCTTCTGTCCAGCTTTCAGGTCATTGTACATATGACACTCTGTGCAATACACTGGGTAGTTGCCACTGCTAGTTTTCTACCTTCACAACTGGGTTTCTTTTTTGGGAAGTGGGGGGTTGTTCACTGGGTATCAAGGCCATTTTGCATACAAACTCACCTTTCCTCAGCATTGGGTGTTTCCAAGCACTTCCCTCCAGTCCGGCTTTCAGAGGTCTCTGCATCCCTGGTGCTTTTACAACTAATGTCACCATCTACATGTCCGAGTAGATTTTGCTCCAGAATCTGACTATTTTCTCCTGCAAAATAAAGAGAAAAACTTGACATTTCACTCAGCTGGCATGAAGCCAGAGGAGATAAGCCCCCCCGCCCGCCCACCCTTCATTCAAGTTACAAACCTTGCTTTTCTTTGTTTGATCAAGTCCTTATTCAAGACACAGAAGGCCTCTTGAGCTATCTGTTGCAAAAAGCAGTGCAGCTGATCAGCTAGCCAATTTCTACTCAAAGTACCAGTTTACTAGCTCACTAATATTTAAGATTTTTTTCTCAACTTCTAAGTTGAGCAGACCTTAGAGTAGCTTACATAAGAACAACACAGACATATATGTTGTATTGTATTGTAGGGATATTGTAGTTTAAAGTTTTATTTTTGTATATATGTAAGATGCCTTGGCACAGAAATAAAATAAAAACAGTGCCTGCCCACATGCTTACAATTCAAACACAACAAAAGGAAAGCACAGGGAATGAAGAGGAAAATAAGCAAACTCAGGCACCAGTCCCGAAAGTTACACCTGCCTACATACACTTGTGTCACAATTGCAGCAGGAACTTGGAACTGAATTTTAATCAGTCCCTTGGTCATTGTCTAGCCAGTCAATTTATCTTTCAGCCATATCTTTACAACAACTGCAAATCCAGAAGCTCTTTTAATGAAGTTCTTCACACTTTAAATAGGAAGGTCCGCTGGCTCTTGACAATATATATGATCTCTGATGCAAAACAACAATGTGTTTTATCTCCAACCGAATGAAGGTATTTGGTGTAGCTCAGTAGCTACAATTATTGATCCAGAAAGTTAAATCTCAGCTCAGCTCACCCTCCTACTCAATAGATGGTCTGATATATACTATTAATTCTCCTAACTTTAGCCCCCACCCCATGTGCAATATTTACTTTACAGGGCTATTTAAAATATTTCCGAGGTCATGATGTGAACATAAGAACAGCACCACTTTATATTGAACCCTGTTAGGTTTCCTGATTACACCTATAACATTTAATCATATCCTCTGTCTCCATGCTTACCAATGATTTTATGTATTTGCTTAGAATACGTCTATCCTACAAAAAAATCCACTTCCCTTTAAAGCCCATGTTACTGCCTATAACCTGGGGTGAGGTTATTGCTGAGCCCTGTTGGGCCTTCTGTGTCCATAGCATGAATGAATTGTGCCCAATGCATTTACTACTACTACTATTACAGAAGATGGCTGAAAATTTGATTGTCCTTAATAGCCAACCAAATAATTGCTTGCTAATGGACTGATACTCACCCCCCCTCCAAGGAGGACAGGCAGTGTCTTATTCTGTGTTACCACTATGAGCATCAAAGGTGCTCTGAGTTTCTCTGAGGCCCAGTGCTACTGTGGGGAAAGTCCCTCTCCTCCTCAGCTCTTAGCACTATAGAGTTAGGAGTGGGGAGAAATTTCATACGCCTTATGCCTTGAAAAGGCTCAGAAAGAAGCAAAATACAGTCATACCTCGGGTTGCGAACACTGCGGGTTGCGCGTTTTCAGGTTATGGACGCACCGATCCTGGAAGTACCAGAACGGGTTACTTCCAGGTTTTGGCACTCACACATGCACAGAAGCGCCAAATCGCGTCACACGCATGTGCAGACGCAGCACTGTGGGTTGCGAACGTGCCTCCCGCACGGATCACATTCGCAACCCGAGATTCCACTGTATGATCTACCACTGATATTTAGTGGTAGGTCTGGAAGATTCCTTTGAACTGCTTGAAACTCTGGAGAAAAAGCAGCATCTCTCCAGAATTAAAGAACGTGCTCAGCAGCAGCAAGCACATTTCTGGACCTCAATATTTAAATGTTCTCAGCAACCTTTACAAAAACCTCTGATATTAGTATTCATACAGGCAATATTAATAATTAGTTTAGTTAGATGAATGTTTTACCTGAAGTGTCATTTTGATCTTCAACCTTCAATTCATTCTGCATTTTGAAAGACAAATCTAAAGCCTCTCTCTCACAAAAAGGATCTGCAGAGATGGTTCCCTTCAATATTTGGCCATTCTTGGATTTTTGAAGAGAATCCTTTTGTTCAACAGGAGAAGGAATGCAAGGCCCACTGTTCCAATAAACACTGTCTCCATTGCGATGTGGTGGAAGAGACGGCACAGGAGGTGAGTGAGATGGATGATCACATCTTTGACTCAAGCAATCTTCCATTACACGAAAGCCTTACAGTTAAACAGAAAACCATAGCAGAGGATATTTGTATTACTTATGTGGAGAAATAGCAGAAGGGGTGTGGTTTTCCTGTCTTTATGTATTCTGCCAGTAACAGGATTTGTAGAACCATTATCAAGAAAGCCTGAAACCTGGCAATGCTTTAGGCATGCAGTTGCCAACCATCCATGTAGCAAAAGATGGATAAGAAGAAACAACTGCAAGACTTCTGGTTGAGGATTTTGTAATATCCACTGTATATTCATCTATTTGTTTACTTCATCTTTGATCAAGAAGCTCGTCAAAATAACTAGAACCTTCCATTTCTTGGTAGTCGGTAGTCAATATTGTTATCATGAGTATTGCATCTCTTTTTAGAACAGATTGGTGTATCTTGTGATCCACTGAGCTAAGCACAATCACCAGCTATGCAGTGGCCCACTAAGGGCTCAGTAAGCCTCCTGTTTTTGCTGCCTATGTGGGCTTGCAATCACAAAAAGGGGCAAGAGGAGATGTCAGACCACTGGCAGGCCACAATACATGGCTTATGGACTGTGCTCAACATGGTGGGTTGAAGATTAAAGAAAACTATTCTAAACAATATGATTTCCCAGCACCAGTGAAATCCCACAATGTTCATTCTGTCCTTAAAATGCAACTTGGGCATGTCAGTTTATACAAGCAAAAGAAAATGACCTGCAAATATTAGCAGCACCCAAATGGAGTCTGTCTCAGAGCTTGAGCAACATCCCAATAAATACTAATTTTAAAGATGCAAGAGGAACTTGCAAGGAAAGATCCTTATTGGGAAGCTGTAATATGGAAAGCAGCCCCTGGTACCAATTCTGATTTGATACAAGAATTCCTGACCAAATAACTATTTGACTAAGCAATGTTTATGTATTTTAGCATAAAAAACCTTATCTATTTCTGTCTGTTTTAACCATGCTACAGTTGTAAAGACAATTTCAGCATGTCCCCTTACCAGTATGTGCTTGCTGCTCAGAGACCATTGAAAGTAGTTTCTGTTGTTCTTCCATTAGCCTTTGAATTTGCTCCATTTGTTGCCTTTTCAGCTGTTCCTGCTTGTGCTGTTGCAGTCCTTTGAGCTAAGAAGCCAAATACATTATTAGAACTCGCATATTAGAGCAATTAATCTAATCTTTATTTGTAAGAAAATAGTTTACAGACACATCAGAATACACTAAAGTGACCACAATTTACACTAGGGCCCAAGTCCAACAAGTGCCATTTGGACTGTCCAATTACATATTAGTACACAACTAGAATTAAAATAGACAAATAGGCATTGCAATACCATACTGAAATTCAAGCCTCAATTCATCAGTAAAGCCTACCAGTCTCAAGCAAAACAACACTGTTTCATAAATATACCTGCCAAGGGATAAGCTAAACTGCCTCATTAACAGAGCTAGAATATAGTAGTGAATAGCACAACTGCCACCATCATAGTTTCATGGGGTTCAGTATGCAAGTTCAGCTTATTGGGTCACAAATTGTGCAGTATTGACTTGCAAAAATACTGCTTTTTTTCTAGACAGAATAAATAATAGGTGTAAATAGAGGCTTTTTTTTTTTTACCTGCTCAAGCTTTTGAAGAAGTAGATCAGTGCAACATTCTTCATCCAGACCATCCAGCTGATCACATTCAGTATCACTTTGCAGGGCTACCCACTGACCTGGTGCATCTTTAACAATTAGCATTTGCTCCTCCTTAGCAAATGAAATTGGAGAAAGTGTTTTGGATATGTCCAACTTGTCCCCACAAGGACTGCTCAATGCAACAGCTTGCTGTATCTGTAGAGAGTTTTCACTTAGAGAAATGCTGCTGGAACTGTGTAGTGAATTACTTGAAATACCTGGTGAGGCATCGTCAATACTGAGTGCTCTAGTGGTTTTCAAACTATGGAAAGAAGGATTTAATATAACTCCAGCACGGGGAGCATTAGACATCCAGTGTGCGATCAAGTTTTCTTCCCAATTCAAATCTGTAGAGGTGGCCATCTGGGAAATAATTGTTGTAGTCCAACCTTAACTAATCTATATCGCTGGCCAAAGTCTTTGATACCCAACTTCAGTACCTGTACAATAAAACAAAGATTTATCAAGTGGATAAACAGAATCCATCATTCTTTGCATGACAATGTTCACTTAGAGCCCAGACAGAACCAGCCTGGTCCTTCAGTCTTGGTTACATGAAATATGGGGCAGGCTAGGCAATCATTAATTCGTATTATAACATTAATTCAGATTATAACAGCAAATAAAACTTAACAAAAAACCAGACTAATACTACTCATTCATTCAGCCTTTCCCAGCATAATTTAAACAATTAAATCCATAAAAATTTATAATCCAGACATATTAAACACATAAAACATATAAAAAACTCAGAGCCACCATTAAGAAAGAATAAGAAGTTTTCAATTTGACTTTAAAATTCTCAACTAAGTTTCCTGAAACGATCTCAGTGGTTTTGGAAATATCAACCCTCATCAGGTATTGGATTACAGAAAATAGAACTGTATAACATAGATAACTATATAACACTGGTCCTAAAGGATCTTCACTGGCTCCCAGTACATTTCCAAGCACAATTCAAAGTGTTGGTGCTGACCTTTAAAACCCTAAATGGTCTCGGCCCAGTGTACCTGAAGGAGCGTCTCCACCCCTCATCAATTAGCCAGGACATTGAGGTCCTCCTCTGAAGGTCTGCTGGTTCCCTCAATGTGAGAAACGAAGTTACAGGGAACCAGGCAGAGGCCTTGGCAGTAACATCCTCTCTTCAGATGTCACGGAGATTAAGAAGTGCACAACTTTTAGAAGACATCTGATGTTTTTAACGTTTTATTATGTTTTTATATTCTGCTGGAAGCCACTCAGAGCAGCTGGGGAAACCTAGCCAGATTTTTTGGGGAGGGGAGGGGATAAATAATAAAATTATTATTAAACTAAACAGGAAACAAAAAGTTTTAAGAATCAGGACTCACAGCTGGTATTGCTTCTAATTTTATTGCCATTTGTGATTTTTAATTGAAAGCCACCTCAGCTTTCGTTATCGCAAAGAGGGGTGTGTGGGAAGTGTATAATTTTTGAAATAAAAAGCGTCTGGGCTTAACACAGGCAGAGACAAAACATTTAGTATATATATATATCAGAGAAGCCACAACTGGGCTGAGCCTCAGCCAGGGTCACAAACGGCAACACCTCCTGTGCTCTCTCATATTAAAAGGCAACAACCCATAAATACAGAGTGTAGGGATAGAGAAGAATAAAACACAACGGACAGACATACACAGAAGACAAAATTCATAAAAGAAAGCGGCCTCTGGAGACCGACTAATCTAGTAAGACGATTTCCGCAGATATTTGGGGAGACCCCAAAGTACCTCACACCGGCGTAAGAAGAGTGCCAACCTCCCCCCGCCCTCCTATCGGGCTGCTACTCCGCAGCGAATACACCCGCCAGACCTTTTACAAACCTGCCGCCATCCTCCCTGCTCCCAGCGCCACAGGCTGGACAATGCCGGCCGCGGGGCTTGTTGGGAGTTGCAGTTCCTGGCGGCCGCGATCCTCGCTTTTGAGGAAAAGTCGGCCCGCTATCGACTGCATTTCCCATGAAGCACTGCAAAAAAAGGACGTTACAATAAGCGTCGTTAGTAAATACTGCGCTCGTCTTTCCAAACCGGCGGCAGTTAAAGGGTGGGGCCTCTGTCTCTGAGGAGGCGAGGAGTAGCGCATCGGTGTCGGGGCCCCTCGGTTCCAGCTTGCGAAACCTATATTCTGGTTCCTTTTAAAAGGCATTTATTAAAGAAGAAAAACAGACGTAATCAGGATAAATAAAATGTCAAAACTAAGATGCGCCAAGGGTTTAGATCACAATCCATTAAAAACCCCAAATAGTAAAGCTAATGACAGTGGTAGTCTTCTTCTTTGGTGATCACTCGTAGCCGAGTTTGTCTTCCATAAACACGATTTTAAGAATGAGCCCATAAGTGACTGTGGAGGCCAATTCTGGATCCACGTGTCCTTCCACAGTGGGGACATTGATTTCCAGGCGGGAGTTGATCACGTGTGGATTTGCCAAGCATGGCTTCCTCTTGGCATGCTTCTCCCTTGCGGCCTGAGTTCGAGTGTCTTTAAAGTCCATGACACCTTTGGTAAAGGCTGTTCTCCAACTGGAGCGCTCGCAGGCAAGTGTTTCCCAGTTGTCAGTGTTTATACAACATTTTTTTAGATTTGCCTTAATACCGTCTTTAAACCTCTTTTGATGACCACCAGCATTACGTTTTCCATTTTTAAGTTCTGAATAGAGTAGTTGCTTTGGAAGACGATCATCAGGCATCCGCACATGACCAGTCCAACAAAGTTGACGTTGAAGAATCATTGTGATCTTTGCTTCTTCCAGTACACTGATATTAGTTCGCCTGTCTTCCCAAGTGATGTGTAAAAATTTTCGGAGACACCATTGATGGAATCTTGCAAGGAGTTGGAGATGGCGTTTATAAGTGGTCCATGTTTCACAAGCATACAGTATGGTTGGCAGTACAATAGCTTTGTAAACAAGCATCTTGGTTTCCCTGAGAATGTCCCAGTCCTCAAACACTCTGCACTTCAATGGGGAGAAATCAGCACTCGCAGAGCTCAGGCGATGCTGGATTTCTGCATCAATGTTGGCCCTTGTGGAAAAATAACTGCCTAGGTCGGAGAAGTGATCGACATTTTCCTTTTTTATAGATATTAATTTTTATTCATTTTCCAACACAATTATACAATTTTATCCAAGTTTTAACAAATTAATCTTTTTGAACTTCCTTCAGCTTCTCTGGTAATCATCCGTAATTACTCTTTAATACGCATTCCCTTCCTTGTATTGCCATTTGTCTTCCCTCCCCTTTCTATTTCTTTTTAACAATACATCTTAAACTTTTACAGTGCTTCTTGAAACCCCACTAGCGTTGTTTGCACATCACATACATTTTTCAGATATTCTACAAATTTTCCCCAATCTTCAATGAACTTTTGGTTTCGAACATATCTTATTTTCCCAGTCAATTTATCCAGTTCCGCATAGTCCGTCACTTTCATTCTCCATTCTTGTATCGTCGGTATTTCCTCTTGTTTCCATTTTTGGGCCAATAAAATTCTTGCTGCTGTAACTGCATACTGGAAGAGTTTACAGTCTTTTCTTCTTATTTCTTTTCCTGTAATCCCTAAAAGGAAAGCTTCTGGTTTCTTTTCTTTTTTCTTTTTTTTAAGATATTTATTAAAGTTTCAACATATAACAAAAATAAAAGAAAATAGAAAGAAAAAAAAGAAAAAAAGAGAAAATGAAAATACAAAGTAAAAACAGTTAAAAACAGATCAGTCTTTCCATATCTTATCTTTCATTTGCTTGTTTCCCTGACCTCCTCACACCTCCCTTTTTTGTATTCCAGTTCAATTAGTTAATTCAGCAAATCCTTTCCCTCTTTGATTTTATCTTAATCTTTTATCTTAATATATTATAACTTTAGATTATCACCTGTTAACAATCCATTTTTACATAAACCTTTATAACATTGCTGCTAAAAACCGCTTAACTTCAATCCAACATCATTCTAACATTCATTAATTTTGCAGTATTTATGTAGATAGTCTTTAAATTTCTTCCAGTCTTCTTCCACCGACTCTTCTCCCTGGTCTCGGATTCTGCCGGTCATTTCCGCCAGGAAAGCTTCTGGTTTCTTAACAAAGGTAACAAAGGTTTTTCAATTCATTATACAGTGGTGCCCCGCAAGACGAATGCCTCGCAAGACGAAAAACATGCTAGACGAAAGAGTTTTCTGTTTTTTGAGTCGTTCCGCAAGACGAATTTCCCTATGGGCTTGCTTCGCAAGACGAAACGTCTTGCGAGTTCTTGCGAGTTTGTTTCCTTTTTCTTAAAGCCGCTAAGCCGTTAATAGCCGCTAAGCCGCTAATAGCCGCTAATAGCCGTGCTTCGCAAGACGAAAAAACCGCAAGACGAAGAGACTCGCGGAACGGATTAATTTCGTCTTGCGAGGCACCACTGTATATCACTTCCCAGAAACTCTTCACTTTGTTACATTCCCACCACATATGATAAAACGTTCCCTCTTTTTCTTTACATTTCCAACACTTATTACATGTTTTGTACATTTTTGCAAGTTTTACCGGTGTAATATACCATCTATAAAACATTTTTATAACGTTTTCCTTCAATGCCGTGCATGCAGTGAATTTTAAATTTTATTTCCACAAGTTTTCCCAATCTTCAAATTGAATATTATATCCAAAATCTTTGGCCCATTGTATCATTACAGATTTAACCTCTTCATCTTTCGTACACCATTCCAACAATATCTTATACATTTTTTACAAAATTTTATATTCATTATTTATTATATCTATTTGGAACTTAGAATCTTTTTCTACATAACCACTTTCCTTTATATCTTTTTTAAACATTTCGTTTACCTGGAAATAATGCAGCCAATCATACATGTGATCTTTAACTTGTTCATATGGTTTTAATTTCCATTTTCCTCCTCCTTTAGTTACCAATTCGCCATACGTAGCCCATTTACCTCTCATATTAATTTTCTTTACACACATAACCTCCAACGGGGATAACCAGTGTGGAACTCTTGGTTCCAAAAGACTTTTATACCTGTCCCATACTTCTATTAACGAATTCCTGAAAATGTGGTTCCCAAATCCTTTATGAACTTTCTTCTTATCACACCATAGGTAAGCGTGCCAACCAAATCTGTTATCAAAACCTTCAAGGTCTAATTTAATCCATTCCTTTAACCAACATAAGCATGCTGCTTCGTAATATAATTTCATATCTGGCAGGGCGAAGCCGCCTCTTTCTTTCACATCTGTTAATAGTTTAAATTTTATTCTTGGCTTCTTACCCTGCCAAATATATCTTGAAATCACTCTTTGCCAGTCCTTAAAAATCCCTACCCCCTTAATAATGGGAATAGTCTGAAATAGAAATAGCATCTTTGGAAGCACGCTCATCTTTATCGTAGAGATTATGCCCCCAAAAGACAGTTTCATTCTACCCCACACCTCCAGGTCATTCCTTATTCCCTTCCAAACCTGTACATAATTATTTTGGAACAGGTCAATGTTTTTAGGAGTTAGCCAAATTCCCAAGTATTTTACTTTCTTCACCAGCTCTGTCTCTGTCTGTTGTTGCATTATTTCTATCGTATTATGCTCCATGTTTTTGACCATTATTTTAGTTTTTTTCTTATTCAATCTAAACCCGGCCACATTTCCAAATTGTTCAATCTCCTCCAATACTTCTTTAACACTTTCCAATGGTTCTTCCATCGTTATAACCAGATCATCGGCAAAGGCTTTAACTTTGTATTCATTCTGACCTACTGTCACCCCTTTAATTGATCTATTTTGTCTGATCGCACTTAAAAAGACCTCTAGGACCGTTATAAATAACAATGGCAAGAGCGGACAACCCTGTCTTGTTCCTTTAGATATTTTTATATCTTCCGTAACTACATTATTAACTATCAGTTTAGCTCTCTCCTCTGTATATATTGCCTTGATTCCATTGAAAAACTCTTTCCCCACTTCCATATACTCCAAATTTTTCAGCATAAAATCCCACACTATATTATCAAAGGTCTTTTCAGCATCCACAAACATTAATATCGCTTGTTTCTCATTCCTGGCAGTCAGATATTCCAAAATATTAATTATATTCCTTACATTATCTTTCATTTGTCTGCCTGGCAGGAACCCTGCTTGGTCTTTATGGATATTTCTTGTCAATATCTTTTTCATTCTCTTCGCTAGAATCCCTGCAAATATTTTGTAATCCGTATTCAACAATGAAATAGGCCTATAATTTTTAACTTGAGTTAGATCCGAGTCTTGTTTTTGTCAGTATATGGAAACATCACAGCTGCAGACACCCAGATTGTTGACATCACATGATACGCCTATCTGTGGGAAAGAAGAATTTCCCCGGACGTTCACAGGCTGGATAAGTCTTTGTGAAGAGTGTAATTTGAAACCTTCCGACTGCGCATGTTCAGGACGTTTGTCAGACGTGCTGGAAGAACTGAACTGAAAGGACGTGTTTTTCTCTAGTGCTGTAATGTCAGAAATAAACATCATGTAAATAGATTTCTGACTACTTTTCTTTCCCCTGCAGAAACAGGAGGGAGGGGTTGTGCATTTTACCCACGCTTGGGAAAATGTCGCCTATCAAAATCTCCCTGGTCTGTCTGAGATATCAGCCAGAGGAGGTTACCGGTAAGCAAGCTCCGAGGACAGTGAGAGGGGCCAGCCTCTATGGAGGGGGCTTGCAAACCAACAAGTGGTAGCAGAGGATGGTTGCAACAACAAGACGGCTAAGTACCAGGTGGGAGACTTTTTTTTTGCTGATAAGCACCGATCCACGTACCTCTGCTATGCTGATTTATGGCTGGATGGTGAACGCGAATTGAAAAGTCTTCGGTTCACGGAGAAAAAGGCTCCTGTTTTTGGATAAAACAGAGCGGAGAGAGGCCAAATGCTTCACATTCCAGAGCTGATAAGAGCTGCCGTTGCTTGGAGACGGAATCGTGAGTACTTTTTGAGCTAAATTTATGAGCTGGTTAGCTTAAAGAGCAAAGAGAGAAAAGAA